ATTTATGAGTTTAATTTCTTACGTAAAGGGGGGGGGGGGGTGTTGTCATGTGTATGGGACTCGATTTTCGGCTTGCAATTGCGCCAAAGAAAGTTGTCCTTCTGTACCCGACCCCTACGAGCTATAATAGGTTTGGTAACCAGGCTACACCGTACTCACATCTACAGGTGCTGCTGATCACTGACGGACATCCAAACGGCGCCGGGAATTCACCGGCAGAGGTTGAGCTGGCCGCGGGACAACTCTTCGAGTTAGGCGTTTACATATATGCCTTAGGTACGGTGTAATCCTTGTCCCTCAATACTGTCTATCTATCTGATATCTATCCATCTAGCTGTCCATTTATCCGCCTACGGGTCCGATATTTCCTTAAAGTGTAATATGTACAAAAGATTATTTATATCGTCATGTTCTTTCTTTATTGATGAAACATATGTTTGTAGCGACATTGTTGTGTTAGTACATGTATCCCACACATAGAATAAATACAATACAGACAATATATTTTCACTGAAGTGGGGTAAGGCGTATAAAGTGCCTAAGGGGACAGACATTTCAGGACTCGAACACGGGACCTCTTGATTCCAAGTCGAGCACTCTGCCGTTACTCCACACGACCCCACAAATCTACATTGTAGTTTGTAAATTCTATATTTCACAGGTTATGGGTCGGCCTACACCAGCGCCTCTGATTTTGACCACCTGAAAAACCTGGTCACCGCCCCGTGGTACAATCACATCTTCAACCTGGAGCAAGTGGACGACTTCGAAACCTTGCTGGATATCCTGGCTAACCGTCCCCCACACCTTGTGTGCGTCAACTTTCAGCAAGGCTAGTCCTCGATGAATGCTCGATGAAAATAAAGGGAAACATGTCCTAATGAAAAAAGGGCAACAAGCTTCTATCTGTTTTAGTCGTCTTTCTGTGTTTGTCTTAATACTTCAACTGTACTTACAATGCGCTGTTTAAGTGTCTATAGCAACTTCTTATTGAGGTGTAAAACTTTTTAAAAATTCCCGTAAGATACCTTAACTCAACGTGTATGTCGTACTTAAACAACTGTTATTCAGAACAGCAGATCGGTGCGTACTAGTACTTCAAGTCTGCACTACTCCAGAAGTTCGCTAGAGGTCCTCCTTATAAAAAGCGACTCTACATATACATGTATTTCTAGGTTGTTTGTGTACGTGTAAACGTGTATTCAAAACCTCATCTGAGCAAGTCATGCTCGTTTATTGTTTCTATATGGTCCGAGCATGTTTCCATGCTGTTATTTTAAAAGAAAAAGACCCTTTAACGATACTTGATACATAATGTACATAAAATAAAACAACAAGTTGACATGTAGTACTAAAATATGATATGCTACTCATGCACTTGAGTTTTTTGAAGCCTTACTGATATATACTGTACTTTTAATTGATGCCCGGTCGATATCTGTCTGATACGTCTGTCGTTGCGTGCATGGGCGAGTTTAGACTTCTGTTGTTCAGAATAAATGACATCAGTGCCAGGGCAAAGCATTAAATCATTGGCACTTCATTAGTATCTAAGGCCTGTTTATAAACCCAATTCAATGTATATCAACAAACTGGTGTACACACATACACACAAACAAGTGGTTCTATCAAACATTAAGGACAATAGTGTTTTATTATTGCTTGTCTATTGTAGATTAAACAGGTAAAATATTCCTGACAATTTGTTGATTGATATACAGCCGAAGGCGCGAGTGTCGCATAGCAACGCCAGTAGCCTAAGCCTGTATTCCCAAAGGGTTTGGTTTGTCCTTGTTGTCTCACACGCAGTGGTTTGTTCCACAGTACTATAGACTACAAACCATTACCAGCAGAAGGGAGGGATTGTCAGTATCATATCCCAACATGTGGCTGATCACAACCTGTCGTTAGACAACGTTTTAAAGAAGGTAGGACTGTTGTTGCATAGCAGTTCATATGTAATACTGACACACTTTTCCTGTACTTTCCGATGACTCTCCCAAATAGCTTATCATAAGCAGTATACAAATCACCTGATTAGGTAGGTGTTCCAGTCACTGTTATTGTTGTTATAGCTTATCTTATATACCACAAGGAAAAAGATTGTATTGTACAACACATCATATGATTCACAGGTGCCCCCCTCCCCACCATATTTTATGTGCACAGACTACATAATTTGTAAAACATGCCACAGGCGACTACCGATTACTTCGACATTATTGCACACCATTCCTCCTTTAGTAAATGATAAAAACCAGAGATGACATGCCATGTTATCTTACAGATATCTAATTACATTGTGAGCGTAAGGAAATAATTTGATAATTTACTGGGTAGAGATGAGATTATTCTTAAGCGCCACAGTAGTGAAATTCTTAATAACAGAACGATAAAGGCAAGTCTTTAATTGTCTGAAAATCACATCAGGAAGTACACATTTCGGAATAGGGGTGTACTTACTTCACACAGCTTTATATATAGTACATGTACATGCGAAAGGCACTTTGCTTCCATCACCAATCTCTATTTGCTATACTGAGATTTTCCCCTGTTATCCAATACTTTCTAGTTTCTTCACTTTTGGTTGTAGCAAACATTGTACATGTGTATTTTTAGCAATACAAGTGGTCTGTTTCTTCCCCATGCACATACAATGTAGGTGTAGATACTTATCGCTATAACCACAGAGAGAAGGTTCAAACACGTCTACTGGCTAGACAGTACCATGTTTGCACATAGTGTAATTAATTATCATGTGAATTCCTTTGCAATGTTCACATTGTTAACTGAGTCAACAAACCACGCTATACTGAGAAAGACCGAAATAACTCGGTTCGAAGAAGTTAGGGTATCGTTCCTAGAAAAAGATCACGAGTGTTTTCAACATTCCACTGTTACTAGTTACGAAGGTCATGACCTTCTGTACAAGTTGAACAGTACACTAGTCCCACTAGTGATTTTAGAAAACAATGATCTTTTGGGAGCTCTAGTTGCCCTAAGATATTTTTCTAACGTTGCCCCAAACCACATCATGTGCATTGAGCACTTCTTATTTTTGTAGGGATACCACTAAGGTGCATATCACTGCACTCTCACGAAAACCTGTATTCTTCAATGTCCAGTATCTTCTTGGCCTTGATGGAGTCATAGATGAACTCTTCAAACACAATGGGTATCTGAAAAGATATAATCCAAGAAAGTGTTATTTGTGCAATATAACTACGGACATGGGGAAATATATAATCTTATAGCCAGAACTGCCATAGTTGTGTAGAAAATTTAACACTCATGGATAATTAGTATAATTACATAGTTCTCTTCGCTTTTAATAGGACGAATCCCTAAATAGTACCGATCAACAGATGTTGTTGTTTAGAAGCTTTAAGGATCTAATCTACTTATCATAGAATATTACTGAGGAATTAGCTGTTGATGTTTGTATATATTGTACAAGGGAAATACTCTAATTATTGTCTAACCTTGTTCGCCTTGGCGTCTCTGACCTTCGCCGTCTTCTTCTCAAATTCTTCCTTCGTGCAAACAAGGATGGAGTTTTGGACGAAGGGCACTGAAAATTATGAAATGATAAGGCAAACGTTTTTGTGAATACTTCGTATCGTCTCAAATGAAGAAATGTTATTAGAAGCCTACAAATGAAGGCCTGGAAAAAGCAACATCCATTCATCTGTAAGGCCATGCCAATTTAATTTGTTGTTTCTCGGATTTTTGCTGAAAAAATATGAAGCGACAGGGCAAAAAAAGGCACCCCATGACATCCGAAAATGTTACAACAAGAAGTGAACATACCAGGCTGGTTTATAATTAAAACAATACATTTGAACTTTTAATGAAACAAAATTGCATTGTTGCATTGAACAACTTTAACAACTAGGAAGAAAGGACTTTCTTCAACCAAAATATGTCTTTCATTGGGCATATTGCAGTTTGTTTAGAACAAAAAAATATATATTCATTTTTGCAAATCAGCAAAAAAATGGACGGGGCGAGTCCGAAAAACAACAAATTAAATCTGTGTGGCCTAAGCTAACTTTGTAATAAGATATAAAGAATTCTAGCAAATCAATTTGTGATGATAACATACCTGGGGTCCCTCCGTGTTTTATGATGAGGTCCTTCATAGACTCCCGTGATTTCTTCCCGACTCGTCCGGCAACCAGTTTTTCCGACAGGGTAAAGTTTTTGTTCTTAAACGTCCTGTCAATGGAATATAATAATATCGTCTATTAATCAGTATAAAATTAGCCATCTGATAAAAATTAAGAAAACTAACTATTTTAAAGTTGTAAATATAAGCTTAGTCGGGAAAAGTTTACCATGTCTGTTACCTTTGATCAAGGAGGAATAGAGACATGGACTTAGTAGTCTGTCTTGGAAATGTTACACACTTGAAAGGAATTCAAACGTTTATTTCCTACTTTGGAGTGACCACTGCCTTTGGTGTCCAGGGCTTCTTGACAGTCTCTGGTGGCTTGACTGTCTTTGGCCTCACTGGTTGTGGCGTCTTCTTGGTTGGAACAACCTATATTCACAATAGCGGAACTGTGTATTTTTGTCGAGTCTAATGTACATGTACATGAAAGAACATTCTTTACGTATAACTTCTCAGATATAAAACTCATATAAGACTATTCTATTCATGATCAATTACTATCAATCTATTATGATCTCTAAACATGAAAAACAACAGATACCCACCGCATGTGATTTTGGTCTCGGCGGTTCTTCTTTTTTCTTCTTGGCGGCTTGCTCGGCCTTGGTGTCTTGGACGATCTACGTTTACAAATGAAAAACAACACATTAATCATATGCAAGTTGCTGAAGTTAATCCTATACGTTTTACATACGTTTGACCTTTCATCTATTTTACTTTGATGAATCTACAAAGCTATTCCATTCTCTGTTAACAACAGTCACTGTGACAGAAAACAAACATTATTCCCACATTATGACTACAGAAAAACGCACCCTTTTGTATTTCTGCATCTCTGCTTTCATCGCTGGCGGGGCGAACGGCCTGTCTTCTCCGCGGAAGATCTTACCGCTTGTGGGGGTTTCGTTCGCGATGGAAGAGGCCATCGCCTTCATCTTCTGCCACATGGTCGGGCTGAAGTTTTCCAACAGCTCGAAACAAACATCCAGGTGGCCGATCATGGAATCTGCGTACTCCGTCACCACTACCACTGTCTCTTCAGAAAGAATAGTGTTCACATGTGTCTTTGTCTGGTTGATGTTGTTCTTTGTCTCGCTGATGGTTGCTTTGAATTGGGACACATCAAACACAGTTTCTTCCATGCAGTCGGCTGATGTGTTGATGCCGTCCACCGTCATGGTTCTACACTCCTCCTGCGCGATCTTCGCGATGGTCTGCTCGGCTCTGGTCACCTCGTCCAGCTCCGGGGCAACGTGGGGAGACTGGTAGGCGATCGTCTGGAGCTCCATCTCTGTTGGGATGTACTCGTCCAGAGGTTTGGTATCTCTGGGGAGAACGGTCTCGCCTTCGTTGGCTGTGGTGTTGGCTTTCAATGACATGTTCTTCTGATCTCTTTCTGCTTGAACGCTGGTGTCGGTGCTTGAACCATGTCTTGCATTTTCCTCGTCCTCGTGGTTTATCTTTTCTTTATGCTCTCTTTGTTCTTCACCATTGATGTCGTTGACGTCTTGTGCTTTCCCAGATGTTCTGATTTTTTCTTCCTCCTTGTTCATCTTCTGATGTGCCTCATCTTTCTGCGCTTGGTCATTATCTACCGCGACAGTTCCTTCTCTTGCCTCATCCACAACAATTTCTTCCATTCTTTCCTCAAGACTTGTCACCTCCTCTGTCACTTGGGACGTGTCACCAGCGTCGATCGTCAGATCGCCTTCCTTTTTCACCACGACCTTCTCGTTCTTTTCACTTTTGTCGGTAGAAGCCTTACCCTCCCTCGTTTCTTCATAGCCTCTGTCCTTCCGCCATTTGTCCATCTTCAGGTCTGCGAGCGTGATTCTTATGAAAGGAATAACGGCGTTGATGTCTCTCTGCTTGCTGTGAAAGTCACGGTAGGTGATGTGAACCTCCATGATGCCTTTGTCCCCCAGAGCGTCTTCGTAGTCGTCCGGTATGTTCAGGTAACACGGGATGTGCTTGAACATGTCGGCAGAAATGTCGTGGAAGTAATACGCGGTGGACACGCAGTCTGACTCGCCGTCGGGAGGATCCACCATCCTGCTGCTCTTCATCTTCTCGATGTCGAAGGTCACGCCGTTGATGGCCCGAAGATTGACGAGGATGTCCGTGACGAGCGAAGTTTCACGAAGGTAAACCGGGATCATCATGTCGGCCTCGAAGTTGTCGAAGTCATTGATCCAGAAGAACGAGTCACTGCCGAGCCGCTGGCTGATCTGGTACAGCAGATCTGGACGGTAGCCACCGATTGTAAAGGTGGAGATGGGAAGGCAGGTACTGGTGGAGAATGATGCTTCTTTTGCAGCGTTGAAAGCTTCAACGATTCCATCCGCGTCACAGATACCTTCGTTCGCTACTCCGTCCGTGAACACAATGATTCCATTCCGGAAATTTGACCTGCAAATCATGAAAAAATGCTTTGTCAATTTCTCTAGCCCGAGCAGATGAACATCCAATAAAAGATGATTATGTTTACCGAAGGAGAACATATTGTTTTTGCTCAGTTTCTTCTTCTTCCTCTTCTTCTTCTCCAAACAGTGACCTCAATGACCTGGACCAATGTTGTGCCTGTTATCATGGTAACTAGTGTTGGGCGACATCATGTTGCAATTTTATAGTAGGCGGGATTTAGACTCCTGTCTGACCATGTATGTGAATTATACACTGCACGAAAAGTTGGATTTACCAAAGGTTGTAAACTCAGGTAATGTTTACTATGTACACAGTATCTGACTTTACAATGGTAATAAATAAAGTTCAACTGCAGTAATTTCCTTTCATCATCATCATCATCTGTCGACACCCTGGCTGGGGGACGGGGCAAGCTCCTGCACAACACGACGCCACAAAGTACGATCTTCCATTGCAGCTGGAAGGTCTTTACAACCCTTTACAAGGTCTTTACAACCCTTGTTAAGTCTGGTATTACCTACTTGACTTTTATTTATTGCCATTATAAAGTTTAGAAGTGTTTATTAAAGAACAATTAAACATTACACAACTATACTGGTGTCGGTAAATCTTAGTTTTCGTGTAGTGGAATGTGTTTGAGTTAGAATTAACAGTCCAGACCTAATGCGAAGGTAAGCATTATGCATTTGCCTTGCAAATGTTACCTTTCTAGTTACTGTTTGAATCTATATCTTACATCTATATTTTGACATGATATAATTGCTTTAATGTGGGAATGATTTACTCACTCCTGGTCTGAATCCTTGAAAAGTTCCACGCCACTAATTATGCCGTCACTGAGGTTAGTACGCGACCAAGCACGGATGTTCTCTATTCTTTTGGCAGCCTCCGCCTGTGTAGAAAGATGTGAAAAGAAGAGAGCTACAAGTGTTTAATATAAGATTAACCATCAAGTTGAGGATGGAAATGAAGTCAGCAGGTTTTGGAAAAGGGGTTTTCCTTATTATAATGGGGTTGGAGGTGTGTGCCAATTGTTTATAATGCATAGAGTATTTATCATACCATTGAGAAAACTAGTCAAAACATACCTTTATAGCTAGTACAATCACCCCTCGGCATAACGCACCAGCTTCTGGGTGTCATCTCCTTTGTTTTTATTTGTGGAAGGTTACAGCTAGTCTAAGATCATCTAGTGGTATAAAAAGTGTACTAAATTTATTCCCATTTTTGTTTGTCATTCTTCAACATCCAGACCACGCGGCAAGTATATAATTATGTACCTGTTCTTTGATTTATCGAATATTCACAAAGATTTTACCTTCCCATCTTTGTCCATTTTGGTGATCGGCAGAATGATGCGGATGTCGCTATCAAATCCCACAATGCCAAGCATGTCCTCCTCCTGGAAACTCTTCACCAACAGTTCTGCAAACACCTTCATCTTGTCGATCAGGGTCTCCTCTCCAATACTGGAAACAAAGATATTATTCAGCAATTTACTGTAGTGCATGAGAATTCTGAAAGGCGACCTACAGAACATTCGAAGTGAATGAATCTGCAACTTACGTGCTTTCCATACTGCCGCTCTCATCAATGACAGCAACGAAACGGAAAGGTAGCCTCTTTTGGGTTTCTTTTTCCGTCTCTAACTCCTGTGCTGTCAGTTCTAGCAAGGTCTTCACCTGGAGTGGAGGCTAGAGCACAGAGGTATACATGCATGAAAAGACAGCAGACGAACACAATTCTGCCAAGCTTAGCTACAGTGTACCTACATCTACTCGTAACTACTTCAATCTTTACATTTTAAACGCTCACAGCCTCGTATTGTCGTACAAGTATAGTCTTGGCTAAACTACACAAGCAAAAACATGTTCTTTACCTTGTCTTTCTCCATCATACAGTAGTAGGACAGCTGCAGTGGCTCTGTCGTGTCGTCTTTCTCATCAGTGGAGTCGGCCATGTTTGGTTCGATAAAGTCTATACCTACAAGCATAATATAATGCCCACGGGTTGTTAGTTGATTAACCTTCCATGATATGCAGTTTTGAAAGTTTTGGAGACAGCTTTTTAGTAATTAATTCCATTACCGAGTTGCCTTTCATCTCATAATCCATGCTGATTTTCATTTTCTGAACGTGACGAACGGCTTTACAAGTTTTAGTAAAGATATGCAGTTTAACTGATATGATGCTTACCGATCTACTGAAGCATGGTAATCCAATCACAATGGAAAATGGATGGCGGGAAACAAAATATGGGGGCCACTAATCAAATTCACTCCCATTTTAAACACACTTAAGGCTTTCAAAGGTTGGATTTCATACTTTGTGTTTACACATTGTCCATGAGGGCAAGTTTTAGGTTATGTACGTGGGCACACAAAAGGTAACACAGCACACGAACCGCCTCTTGAATATATAGAATGTCCGCCCCCTTTTGGATAAAACTAATAAACACAGTTTTTTGAAACGCTCCATGATCTGTGTAGAATACAAAACGTAAGATGTTAATAACATTGTGTCTAAAGGAGAATATTTTGCTATTTTGCCTAGAAAACCATTTCAGTGGCATATCACGTTTGACGTAGCTTAGAGGTAATAGTATAATCTTCCAAAAAGAAGGTACATGTATTGAACTATGTATTGAACCCTTTCCTAAACTGTACGTACCCCCTTTCCTAAACTGTACGTACCCCCTTTCCTAAACTACCCCCTTTCCTAAACTGTACGTACCCCCTATCCCTGAACTGTACGTACCCCTTTCCTAAACTGTACGTACCCCCTATCCCTGAACTGTATGTACCCCCTTTCCTAAACTGTACGTACCCCCTTTCCCTGAACTGTACGTACCCCCTTTTCCCGAACTGTACCTACACCCTTTCCTAAACTGTACGTACCCCCTTTCCTAAACTGTACGTACCCCCTTTCCCTGAACTGTACCTACACCCTTTCCTAAACTGTACGTACCCCCTTTCCTAAACTGTACGTACCCCCTATCCCTGAACTGTACGTACCCCCTTTCCTAAACTGTACGTACCCCCTTTCCCTGAACTGTACGTACCCCCTTTTCCCGAACTGTACCTACCCCCTTTCCTAAACTGTACGTACCCCCTTTTCCTGTCTACCTGCTCAGACAAATATTTGCCTCGAAACGCACAGTTAGAGGATGTTTAAGCATGATAATAAAAAGACTAGTAAATAGACTTCGCAAGTGAAAGTAAACACATCAACCTCATTACAGTATATGATAGGCCCTCTGCACTCTCTTTTGGCATATCGACTGGTCCACCGGAAACTAGTTTGAAAATCTAGGTCGACATCTTAATCTATACCCACTATTGAAATATGCCCCCTTAAACTTACCTAAAGATTATTCACTCAAGCCTTCAGATTAAAACACATGCTTCCATACAAAAGACTGTTTTCAGATGAAATGTTGCTCGGCCACCAGACCCGCAGAGAGACCACCTTTTCATTGCTATGGACACAGTAGAACGTGTAAATATGCCGTCAATTACAGGTGAACTATGGTGCACCTATTCCGACGACCTCGCCTGTATCGTAAGCAAACCTACATGAAAGGCGCGGTCAGCGCAACAATGAAACGTCATCCAAGAAACTTAAGTGGGGTTTCCGAGAAAGAAACTGGCGCTGTACAAATAACATCGAGGTGTTTTTCTCTACATTAAAAGACAATTTTTAAAAGTCTATGATCAAAACACACCAATTATCATTTATAATCGGTAAACAAATGTCTATCGTAACCGTACCTTTTTTTTTTATTTTTGAAGACGTATCTAGTAGCCTCTTTCTTCGTTCGGTCATATTAAGTAGGAATCCTACCCTAAGCCCACAATTTTAAGCTTTTGAACCAAGCATGATAATTTAACATATTACCTATGCACGCTAGAGCTAGTCTATGGTTTGAATCGGCAGTCTGATTGGAGATGTTGTTAGTAAGTTTAATATTTGGTGTTTGGGTAGGGTTGAAAATCCACCCAACGTCTCATATAGAGAACGGGTACTAATGTACACTGCACATCAAACACCTTTTGTGGTCGGTTGTGATAGGTTGTAGGTCTGTCGTGTTGTTAAGGCATACCGATGGGTACTTCTCCGACAGTCCAAGCCGATCATTTTCTACTAAAGTACCTCTTATTATTAGAAGCGGTACATGTCAAGGTTTTTGGTGGTTCACAGGTTACACTACTCGGGTTTAGTAAATATGCAACAGCTTAGGACCTGGTCACAATCGTCGTACGATCATCGTACGATTGCAAATCGTGGGGGCATTCTTGGGTTAGTGCTGCATGTGTCGTATAAAAGTATAGCCTCTACCAGGCACTGCGGATCGCTGGAAAATGGTAGAAACTGGCCAAAATAGCAGGGAAGTTCGCCGGCCAGAGAGGGTACATTTTGCGAACCCTCGTTATTGACCACTTTCTACAATTTTTTAAAGCGATCCGCGGTGACTGTTAGAGGCAAATAAAATTACGGAAAATGGCTGTCTTAGATCCGATCTTGTCGACAGTTGGTTCTGTCTCTGTCTGATTAAAATCGTACGACAACCTAAGATGAATGTTGCAGGTTGTCAACCGTATACAAATATAAGGCATTCGTACCTACAGGCGCTTTCTTCTGGAGGTCAGTGTACTGGGTAACCAGAGCTGTGTTGATTAATTACGTGGGTACACCTGTCACCATGTGTACATGACCTCCAGGTAAACAGTGCAAGTCAACCTAAAGTCTCCCCGTGTCATTTGCAGTGTGCGTAGAATTGCTAATGAATGGGCATTTCATTCAGGACGATTCCATTTGGGAGGGTGGAAAATGTTTAAAACTAAGGATACTTAAACTCTTGTATTTATGATTTTCAACTATTTCATGTGCTTACTAGCCACTTCACGTCCATGCTTTCAGAAGGAGATATTTTGTTCTCTTCATACATTTCAACACAACGGATTTGTGCACCCCTATTCTATAAAGTAGACGAGCCCACTTGCCCCACAAGGTGTATAATCACGTGACCCGGCCCCTTTGTACCTTTGATGTGCATTAGATTGAATGACACTGTTTGGGAACTATTTGTGTACAGGGCTTATAGCAACGGGGATGTTATTTCGGCACCGAAGTGTATTATTTCACCAGACTGGGGTCACAGGTACGAAATTCTTTCTTTAGGTCACTCAGTCGACAAAGAAAGTCTACGTCTGGATAAGTATAAACAGACCTTTGAATAGTGCTGGCTTGACAACGTACAGCATGTACAAGTGTGGTCGGTAAGTTCAGACTTCTTGAGATTGACTCTAAATTCTGTTTAAAGTTCATTATAGTTAACGAAATAGGGGAAGTCTGGACCTTTATAGTTAACCTATATACACAAGGTATACCACGAAAACCACATTGTAGGGGAGTCGATGTCCATATTGATTATTATGAAGAGGCCGGGTGCAGACAGCTAACAGGTTGGTACGGTTACGTGTAAGTGTCCATGCATTAGAAACCAGTGATTACACTACATTACCAGTTACTAGTATAAAGTAGTACGCTGTACATGCTCTAGTGGGTATTTGGGTAGTGGCTATCGCCATGATGAACAACAATTAAGGTCGGTTAAGAGTATAATGTTTCATACCTTGTTTGCACACCTTGAAGGCTCACGTCGTTTAGCACATACTTCCTAAATAAATTATGTTGCAAGAAGTGTATATGGGGCAAAGTTAACTATAAAGACAGAAACCTGTTCACAGGTAGTACATTGTATAAGATTGTAAACCGAGGGCCTCACCAGAATGTAGGGTATGGGGTATCTGTATCTGTATCTGTATAGCCGGTATAACCGCCTTTCGGCGTAACACACCGGTAGCTTCGCAGGCACGCGGCGCGGCGGGTAGAAAGGATCTTTCAAAATTCCGATTGGATTTTGATGTTTGACTTCTTTTACTTTCTGTAAACAAATCAATGTTTCCTCTAAATGTATTATGATTATAGCCCGTGAATAAAGCAATAATGGCAATAGTATCCAAAGGACATGGACAGGATGACACGGTGACTTGTACGGAATGATTATTAATGTAAATATTGTACAGGAAACGCAGTGGAGGATGAAATGCACTTTATTTGTCACTGCCCTCATTATAGCACCGAAAGAGATCAGTTATTTGAAATGGTCACCAAAATGTTCCCCAGCTTTATTCACCTTCCCAGCCTACAAAAAACTGCATTTCTATTAACACCTCCCAATTCATATATCTCGCAAAACGTCGGCCATTTCATACGTATATATATACTCCACTGCACACGGAAAAGAAATCAAACCCAACAATAACTACAAATGTATATATAAAGTAGCATTAGCATCACTTATTATCATTCTACTGTTTACTGTTGTTATCATGTTCTTGCAATTAGCCCTCGGGCATGGATTTGCAATAAACTTTCATTAATTAATATTAATAACATCAGGTCAACAATGGCAAAGGTAGAGAAGAAATTGAGATTATACACAATTTACTGGCCCTTTGGGATGTGTGCATAAAGTGGTGGTTTGATACCCTTCCTAAGAGTATAGGTAATGTAATCCCATCGTATGCATAATGACTTTCTGTCCAGAAATACGATACCTTTTATCATTGGGTGTATTGATTGATGTATGACCTTTGTGTCCATTGATTCTGTTTTTAGAGCCGTGAACAAAGGCGTGCTAATTTGTAATTCCATTATTGTTCTCCCCACAGATTCCACCTGTAAGTGGTGACGTCTGACATAATTCGGACATTTAGAGTCAATCGCGCATTACTATAAAGTATCGGTGTTGTTGTTTGTTCTTGCGCAAGGCATCATGGGCTCGGGCTCGTCTAAAAAGATGGCGCCCGTCGCCACGAGGACGATAGAGACACAGACTGACGTCAGCAACCTGGAGGACGTCTCGTCACAGCAGTCAGTTCCAGGGATGGGGTTCTTTCAAGCTCGAATCACTCACGGTTCCGGTACAAGAACACTCCCTCCAACCGCGACCGTTACACCGGTGACAGCCAATGGGCAGCAGAAGCCCGCCGCGGGGCATGACGGGAACCAGCAAGGTGATCTACCGACGCCCAAACCTCCATCAACATCTAAGGACCAGCTCATAGCCAATCAGAACTACCAAGAGATGGACGAACGCGCTAGAAAGGTAAATAAGCCATGTCTATTACATGTTTTTTTCATAGATATGTGATACGTTCAGTTAAGTATTTGAGTTCCAAGGTTTTTGGTAACGGCATAAAATAAGTTGATATAACTTGAGTTTGCCGTCACCATGTCTAGTCATGAAATGTTGAAATAAAAACAAAAAAAGTTCCAAGGTTGATGACAGAAAATACATGTATAATTTTCAGCTACAAGCAGGTTGCAATGACGGTTTACGCGATTTAGAAAAAAATATTGCATTGTTGTTGCCAAATATTGAATTGTATCCTCTTCACCCATTCCAGGCGGCAGCATCAGAAGCTAACTCATTCGATGGACTAAATCAGTATCTCATGGAGGGGAAGAAAGAAACCCTTGTTGCGGAAGAAAAATCGGAGACAGTCCAAAACGGGGAAACAGTGGCCACCGTACAGGATGGGCCCCAAAATGAAGCTGTGGTAGTTGGTGGAACATCGCAAGGTCAGTCCGAAGCAAACGGTGAGACAGGAGAAGTTGAAGAGCCCCAAAACACGACTGAAACCAGCACGACCCACCAGGACGCAGTGACAGCCACAACCGCGGAGACTCTACAAGAAGATGTTGAGAGGCAAATAGAGGAAGCCAAAGCCACGCAGGCGAAGATAGACATGCAGCAACAAATGTCCAAGAAGAGGCAGCAGCTATCTCTGCAGGAAAAGCTGGAAGCACGAAAGAGAAAACGGCAAGAAAACGTCCAGAGACAAGAGGAGAAAAGGGCGAGGGCGGAGCTAGAGGAGAAGCAAGGAACAGTGGTGAGTCCGATGTCAATAATATATTATGTACCCTCTAGCCAGCCACTTTTTGTTGTGCACTGACCCTGTATCGGAAGGGTGAATAAACGCGGCGTAACAATCCTAACTAGTAAATTATTAGATTATTTCCTTCAATTCACAACATAATCTGTAGGCTTACAGGTCATGTTATCTCTTATAAATGCTTTGCTATAATGTCTTACTAACTGGTAGTTGCCTCTGGCATGTTTTACAATGTAGTCTGTGCACATTAACAGATGGTGGGGAGGGGGGGGCACCTGTAAATCATTGCAACCTTTTAACTGATTATACAAAAGGTTAGCCATAATAACAATTACAGGGACCGAAACACCTACCTAAAAATAGTAATCAAGTATACTTGATTTGTATATGATAAGCTATTTGGGAAAGACTTCGATCGGGAAATAGTGAAAAGTATGTCAGTATTAGTACGCTGCTAGGGAACGACAGTCTTACTTTTTTTAAAATGTTGTCTAACGACACGTTATGATCAGCCACATGTTGGGATACGATACTGACAACTTCTCCCTTCTGTTAAGGAATGGTTTGTAGTCAATAGTACTGTGGAACAAACCACTGCGTGTGAGACAACCCTTTGGGAATACAGGCTTAGGCTACTGGCGTTGCTAGGCGACACTCGCGCCTTCGGCTGTATATCGATCAACAAATTGTCATGTCAGGAATATTTGACCTATTTCATCTTCAATAGACAAGCACGAATAAAGCATGTTAGCGTTCCGACTATCTAATACAGCCACTTGTTTGTGTTTGTGCATCATTTTGTTGGTATTTTGTTCACTGTTGTCAGCTGTTGTAAGAGTTTGAGCTGGTCAACCCCCTATTTTCTTTCTATATTCGGGGAGCAGACCCTCACCAGCTGGCTTTATTCGGTGGTTATAGCAACTGACAAGGCTTCATTACACCTCGGGCGGGTCATTAACCCTTAATTCACTCATACATGTCATTGTTCATTATATATGCCATTGTTATGTATTTTCATACTTTCATGGTCTACTATTGGACCTTCATGATCTTTAAATCAAAAATATCACAAGGTCATCAGTAATCTCTTACACCACCATATATTTGCAGGACCTTGGCCAACAATCTCAGGTGACGGACGTGAAGGAGACACGGGGTCAGACCGAGGGTAAAACCGTCAGGTTTGCTGATGACCCCGGTACTGCCGTGAACGTGGGCGAACAACACCAAGACGTCATCATACCCTCAGCATCAGAAGAGGTAAGCATCTTAGACAGAATCTTGTTAATTAAAATTCAGAAGTTTATTGCAAATTCATGCCCGGACGCTAATTGCAAATTTCAAACATAAAAGAACATTCAAACAGAGTACGAAAGAACTAAAATCTACATGATGAAAGGTAGTTGTCTCAAACTATAGCTATGTCTAAAACTATGTTTTTTATGGGTTTGACTTCTCTTTTGTAAAACATGAAAGACGTAATATATTACATTAGAGAGTGATTGAACACTGTAGGATTTCACAATATGTACGAAAATGGATGCTGATTGTAGAATAGAACTCGAAGTATTATCTCACGAAGTAAAGGACGTTACCTCATTTCGAACAGGGACACTATGTACTGATGTGAAAATCCGGCCACCTGACTCCTTTTACTTTCATTACCTTCGACAAGAAGGTTATGTTTTAGGGAAACGTATTATGTTTGTGTGTGTGTGTTTGTGTGTCTGTCTGCAGACAAGATAACCTAAGAATGCCTCGGTGGATTGTCTTGATATTTGGTATGTTAGTAGGTCTTGGTAAGGTCTTGGTAAGACCTCAAAATGATTAGATTGTTGGCCCCTGAAGGGTTGGTATGGTACTGCAACGTTCTGTTAGGTGACGAAATTATGATATTAGATAGCTTTTGTTTATTATATGATAGGCTCCAAAAATAACAAGATTTTGATTAATTACGTTTTTGAAAAGAACACAAATAACCCTTACCATTTTCTCAGCCTGTTCTTAAAGGAGTAGACAGACATGCGGAGATCAAGAAGGCGGAAGAAGCTGCTCCGTTGATGCCGAAGATGCCGGTGACGAAGAAGGAGTCCGTGTACAGGAAGGAGGACATCTCACTCTTCAAGGACCTGGAGGATCACGCCGTGTCACTGGCTCTTGTGGTAAGAAGTTCTGATATTATTGTTGAAATAAAGTTAAGACTTTTGTTCTCATCTAGAGCTTTCGGCCAGTCCATCTGGTCTTCTCCAATAGACTGACCCAGCTGCAATGAAACGAACACGAGACTAGCAACAGTAGAAAATTTTAAGGTATGTGTTTCTACCTTTCAAAACAAGTCACTGATTGATTAATATTCTACTAACCAATCAAATCACGCCTTTCGTCTTGCCTTTTTGATTGACAGAAACCCAAGACGACTGACACGTTCGCCACCCTGATGGAGGTCCTCCTCATCCATGACCTCTCTGACCTGGAGAAGGTGCGCATGATCTTCCACTGGGTCACTGCGCAGAACCTGAATGAGATGACGTTCGGTGATGACGTGGAGGACGACTCCCCGGCAGGGTACCTGAAAGCCATCAAGGAGGAGAGGCAGACGTACGCCACGCTGTTTGAACGGCTCTGCAGGTGAGAGACATATTCATGAAAAACTAGAGAGGCAAAGCTTAATTATTACCCTTAAAAGGGTTCATAACTCAGTCAAAGATTATTTTCAGATTTTTAGCTTTTAGGATAGTTTCTTTAAGCTACCAGGCAATCAATGTCTTCAAAAGAAATAAAAACCTTGTTGATATTTGGAAGGCAATAATTAGGGACCCACTACATGAATGTAGCCTGGTATCAAAACTATTATAGCTATGGATAGGAAAGAGTTTTGTGATCTTAGTAGAACCGAAGTCTTTTGGTGATCTACTAAATGGTAAAAAGATGAAGAGTACATCTCATGCAATCATTTAACAGACTTATTTTCTTCCTCCATCGTTAGTGCTGCCGGACTCCACTCTAAGACGGTTCACGGCTACATGAAGGGTGTCCGGTATAACCCCGACCACCATTTCGAGGGCCCGGGTGACAGGCACCGCGGCACGTGGAACGCCGTGCTGGTGGACGGAGAGTGGCGACTCATCGACTGTCACTGGGGATCCAGACATGTCACAGGTAAAGCCCCTGTCACACATTCACAAACATCCTCCGAGGTTGCCTGTAGTTCGGGAGCAGTCTGACGAAATTTAGGCCGCGTCTAACTTTCTATACGAATCGAATCAAATTTGAGTTAAGTTTGATTCAAATTTGACTGCCAACTACGCCCGATCACTGTTGACCTACTCCTGAACACCAGCCAACCAATTTAATCTCCGATCAGGTCTTTCGGTAGCCAAGGCTACTTATCTTATACCATCTTGCAAATTGGATACCATTTTGCTAAGGAAAGATCTCCTTGGAGATTATATGGAATATAAAACTCAATCAGACCATAAAGGCATAAAAGATTCTCTTCATTCAGTGACTTACCAACCTAACGATACTATACATGGATATGAATGGATAAGTTGCGTGGGTCAGGCTGTCATAAATGATGTACATAAGAACGAAAATGGTAGTTTGTTCTTTACCGAAGCATTGAAATGATCTCAACCTAGTTTATATTGTTGGCAACCTAGTGAATGTACTTTATAACAACACATCAAGGTGAAAGTCATTATGTAGTGCGTACTAAGTGTAATTAAAATGTGATGACGTTTCAAAATGTTTGTTAGTAGCCTGCCATTGACTTTACATTCTCTTCCAATAACGTTTGTGATTTTTTTTCATGCTTTAGGTGATGACCAAGTCAGTGTCGACCAGCTGACCACCGTGTACAAGTATGAAGAGTTCTACTTCCTTACCGACCCGGAACAGCTGATCGACACCCACTTCCCCGACCAGCCCGAGTGGCAGCTGCTCGACAAAACCCTCTCTCTCGCCGACTTCGAAGCAGGCGTCAAATGCTGGCCTCTGTTCTACAAGCTCCACGCGTCGCTCGCCAGTCACAAGTCCGGGATGCTCCACACGGAAAACGGCACGGTGGAACTACGCGTCGGTTTCCAGAAAGAAGACTTCACCAAAGTTCGGTTCTCGTATCGACTCAAGACAAAGGATAGAGTCAATACGGTAGACGGAGTCGACCTGAACCGGTACGTTCTGCAAGAGACCATGGAAGATCACGAGAGTTTTACAGTCCAAATACCGGCAGACGGGCGATATCTCATTGAGATATACGGAGGAGAAGATACAGGAGACAAGGAGCAAACAGAGACCTCTAACGTCTGTCTCTACATGATAGTTTGTGAGTCTGCAAAACAGAACTGTACCCCGTTCCCCGAGTGTCCCATAGCGCGGGGGCCAGGTAGGGACGTGGTAAAAGCTGGGATGACACCACTGAGTCACAAGGAGGCAGTGATCAAAACAGAGACAGGACAGGTCGAGATCAAGTTCCGAAAGCCCGGTGACCTTGACTTTAGGCAGAACTTGTACAAGGTCAAGTGTGAAGAGACCGAGTTTGCTGGGTTCGCGGTTAACGTCTTAAAGGGCGACGAAGTGACATTCCACGTGAGAACACCAAAGAAGGGAACGTACGGACTCATCATATACAGCAAAGACGGAACGGAAGAAGAAAACAAATTCTCACAGCTGTGCTACTATGTCATAGTGTGTGAGAAGGATCCGGATGGTATCGTTCCGTTCCCAAAAGCTGCCAATCAACAGTTCGGTCCGGTGAAACCTCAGTTTTCGAAACTCGGTCTCGTCCAATCAGAAAATGCCGACTATCACCTTAAAACGGACAATGGCGAGGTGAATATTGGTCTGAAGGTTACCAACGATAAGTTGGTGTTCAAGCACATCTTGTCGTCTAGGGCAGAAGAAGGGAAGGAAGGTTTAGATCAGTACGTCTTCAGACAGACGGTGGACAGTAACGTGTCTATGTTGTTCCGCCCTCCTCATGCCGGAGAGTACAGTCTCGCGCTGTATGCCGGGACAGGTGCCGAGTTGAAGAACGTGGTGAACTACTTCATTACGTGTGACAAGCCGAGAGAGAACGTCCAACCATTCCCTCCCATTGGAGACGCGGGCTGGGGACCTGTCCTTCCCCCCTTCTCTGACATTGGACTCTCCCTAGAAGCCCCCAAGACAGCATATATCACAGGCGAGAATGGAGAGGCTACCGTCAATCTCGGTTTGTCAAAACCGGTCGGGTTGCGGTTCCGTATGTCGCTTCACAAAGATGGTACAAGCGAGAACATGGACCAGTATATTTTCTACGAACTGGGCAACGAAAATGGAACAGTCAAAGCTCGATTCCCAAAAGAAGGGAGCTATAAGGTTGAAATGTTTGGAAAAGACCTGTCGTCATCGTCCGAGGCTGTGCCTTTGGTTGCCAATTTCTTTGTAGAATGTACGCAGCCACTGAAAGACGCGACACCGTTTCCTAAAGTCGTAGGTGCCAAATGGGGGCCAGGGTGTCGTCTGCACGAGCCAACATCCGGGACCTTGTCACGTGATCAGGTTGTCAACATCAAGGTGGATGTCCCGGATGCGGTGAAGGTTGCAGTAAAAGGAGACTCGGTGCAGCTGATGAACAAGGTCGAAGGGAACACGTGGGAAGCGAAGTACGCCATCGGGAAGGCGGAAAAATCGGTGGCTGTTTTGGCAAACTTTGAGGAAGGTTCGCAGAAATTCGCGGGCCTGCTGGAGTTTGCAGTCGAAGACTGAGGAGAAATCATTATAAGAGGAATACATTCCATAAACTGCTTTTATCCAGATGTGGTTATGAACAAGCCGTCCATAATATGTGAATATGTTTTAATAAGAAACTAAATCCATGCAGTACTGTGATTCTTTCAGAAATTATCACAAATTCATAAATGTACATTTGCAAATTAATAATCAACAGTGCACAGTGCCCTCTATATATTTTAAATGTTGTGTGTATTATGAACGATTTTACCTTGGAATTAATCAAGTACGTTCTGGATCTTTCTGTATATACTGTAATAATGTAAAACAGCGACACCTTGCGACTGGTATGGTTTTACAGACCACCTGTTGATTGTAATATCGGAATTGTACAGTTTTCTCGCGTCTTGACTTGTACATGTCTTGTTGATTTGTATCATGTGTTAAGAATTTGAATAAAGGGACATTGGTTGTTAACACGTTGTTCTTTTTGAGTGAATGTAATGCCGTGTTTCTACCCTTGTTTCAATTAGATAACTCGGATACTTTTACTAACGTGTAGTCTTAAAACGGATACCCGATACTCGTATATCCTACTGCATGTACTGGTGTGCGTGTTGTAAAAACGTAGACTGTCTTTTGAAAAAAAAATGGGGGCTGTGAAAAGACTCCATCTGCCATTGTACGTATCGTCACGTATTCCAGCATTGAAACATGAAATTCGACAAACTAGATGAAAATAGCTTTCAAGCTAACGTATTTCCCACACAACTTTCGTCCTGAGAACAGCTGCATCTGATATGCGTATGACTCTTCAATGCGAACGTACAAGATGGCTAGTTGACACATAATCCCAAGCGTATTTACCCAATAAACATGCGAACATGTAGGCAGTTCAATTGCTCGTGATCCACATTGTGACGATGCTATTGTTGTCGTCAAAATCAGAAGAAAAATAATATTTGTAAACTAACATTATGCTCCCCCCATGCTGTGATGAGGTAGCCTGGTGTCCGGTCTATCGCGGTTGGGGCGGGTTCTCTTCGGGGCTGCGGAAGCTCTTCCCCGCCTGGCTCAGCTAGGTTCCCCGGTAGGTTTTCCACGACGGGAATTCAATTAGCCCCACCGGGCGGCCTGTTGAGATGGACGGAGGGAAACTTTTAGAGCCCCGAAGACAGCCTGCCCCAACCACGATAGACTGGACACCAGGCTAGCGCTGAGGGTGCCGTTAAGTGAAACATTGTACGCCATATTGATTCCTTCCACTGAACCACTCGTCCCTTACCTTTTGTCTCCTGTATTGATTGGCACATATTGTTTACACCGGCTGTTTAGCAACAACAGGATTACGTTTCGCCCTAACAGCTCAGAGGCGCGATATCAAATGTAGTCACCCGGGGGATGGACGCACACACGTCGTTGAAACTGTGCTGGAGATTCGACAAATGGAGTAGAGATCTCAGTGCCTTGTGCTGTGGAGAGTACTTCACTGTTGACACTTGAAACATCTATAAAGTTACAATCTTCAAAGGTAAGATTTAGAATACGTTATTACGTACATGACTGAGATATGCCTACAATTATACGCGATTATAGCGACGCATTTGAATCAAAATTTGCAATATTACATTTGTATCTTGTACAACAAATATCCTCGCCATTGCTAAGTCTTTCCTTTGGGGACAAGTTTAGGAACGTTATTGAATGAAACATTGTGATGAAACTATATGAGAATTATATCTAGAAAGAGAGGGCAACACAGGTCAAGATTCAATGTCAATACAGCAATAATGTGGTGAAGTAGTATGCTCACAGTTGGGTTGACATTGCACTTGAATTTTGTATATTACGTAATTATGCTCTGAACCATTACCAGAAAGACACTTCAAAATGCACTATGTGTTGCAACTGAACACTATTGGACGAACATGCTTATTGACTACTCTGTGAAGTATGAATGGCAGTATATGTAAACTAATCAAGCAATGGCGATCTTTTCATATTTTTGAACAGATATGTCATTACTTATGTTATGCCAGCTATATAAGAAAGATATATACTTTCTACTCAGTGATTGAAACCTTTAATTACTAGCCGCCCAACTGCCAATTCACTGGATGATTTAGAAATGAATTCCAAAAGGTACGTCTTCGGCACCGTATTGGTACTTATATTCCAACAATCAGCTACATATACAACGAGATTAAACTTGACTACCGATTACAAGTCTATCGCCTCTACTCAGATCGGGTGTGGTTGTCACCCCAGGTGAATTTTATGTTGTCCTTCAGACATATAATTTCGTGCCATGTTTACTTTCACAACAAAGGTTATACCCAGTGTTACCTGATAGCGTGGGAGAATAACACATCGGGCATTGGGCTATAGAAATTTATTGTGGAATTATTTATCGTTTACAGTATACTTGTGGGAGTTAAATGAGTTATCAGAATATTTACAAATGTATTGTATTTTCTCCGTTTTAAATGCTATGAAAGTATATCATTAGGAATGTTTTGGCCGTAACTCTTTCTCTAAAATCCCATTTCAAATTGACGAGCCTCAATTATAACAAACGACCATGCTGTGTCAGGATTAAACTCATTGTAAACAGAGCAAAATACTGCAACAGGAGTTTCTTTTTTCGGGTTAAACACAATACTGGAAAAGTATGCGAACAATTGCAAGAAGTTGTCACCAAGTACTTCGCCGTGTTAGCGTTTAATTGATTTTTCTCTCTGTCTTTAAACATCGAGGACATCTGCGGTGAATAAATTGTTTACAGAGTGAATGAAAACTGACGCCACGAGCACACCACTCATCTCTGCACCAGATCAAAATATTTTCAAGCCTCGGACAAAAACATTTCATCGGAGAGTGGCGCTGTGCAGGGAGCTGTCCTGGTTAAGTGGTGCCTGAATAGTGAAGTGCTCCGGTTTACACAAGGTGTTAGTATTGACAAAAATGTGAACTTAGTTGGGGTACAAACAATGAGGTTCTATACAGTAATACATTATGTGTATGTGTACACTCTAGTTACTAAATATATAAGCATAAATCAATTCTTTCCTTACACAACTTCAAAAGAACACCTGTACAAAGGTTTACATTTGTGCCTATACGTTGTATGTTGACAATATTAATTTAGAAATAACATCAACTGTATCTTGTTGGACATTGTGTAACGTTAGTAAGCATTTGTTTATTTATCAATGTATGAAAATTACTGCTAAGGCTGTTTGTATTACGTATAATCTACAGATACACGAGAATGCTCTTTTTATGCAGAAAACAATGCTTGACCTTGATCAGTGTGTTTGTGTGTACGTGCTTAGACGTGAAAAAACAAGCTGCACGAGCCACACACACTTGTTGCACGTATATGGAAGGTTCTACTGTACCAGAATAGTAGCTAGTCCTTGTCAGCTATTTTGTAGCTCTCTCCAGTGCCATGTTGAGAGTCTTACCTCCAATATCGGCCTCTTATTTACAGGTTGGATGACCCCATGTGACCGCTGCTTTGTGATTGGACAGTTACGTTCTGACGGGACTCTGTGAACGTGCCCCGAAGTATCGAACATAACGTGTATCGCTGAGGTCGTCATCGCCTGGTCCGGCTAACAACATGGGCTGCGGCGCCTCCACCACGGCCGCTCCTAGCGGGACCACAATCGGCACACAGACAGACAGGAGTTTCGTCGCTCGTCAAAAGGACAAGGAAGCCATCGAAGCCTCCAGCGGGGCTGCAAAGCTTCCCCGCCGGCAGCTCCGCCCGCTAGGCCGCGGTCCCGACCTCAACGCCATCGAGGCCGACGCGAGGAAAACTCTACAACCTGCGAACGTCCTTCCTTCTATTAAACACAAAGATGGAACGACTCAGAAGAACCCAGTGCTTCCCCTGTACCATCCACCGTTACCTCAGATACCCAGCGGGCCCAGTCAAGAGGTATCAGTACATTTTTATTTCATATCATGCGTAGCTCTACGTCCGGTACGTTAGTCCGGGATAAGTAGTTCCACCCATTGTGCAGATTTATATAAAATTGTTCTGCTCTAATTATTTACCTGTTTTCTATTATCCACCATCTGTTCTCACCACAAGGTTTTTCTCTATTAACCTTTAATAATTACACCACGACATTTTAATAATATATTTTCCGCTTCTTTCGCCACCTATTTTCAATGACTCAAAGCATACTGTAATATGTCTCCGGCGCGATTTTGAATACTGTTGTTTCCAGTATCAATATTTTTCTTACGTTCTCTAATGATGTGTGTCGAAGTGGCTCAAACGTGTTCGGCGGGAAATGTATTTTGCCAGCAATGTTTGGCATTGTCCGCGGCGTGGAAAGTGTGTGCCAGCTGTTTCTGCAAGGTGGTTCTTTTGTTTGTGTCCGTCTTGAGTAGTCAACAAGACCCTTTCTTGGCAGGTATGTCGAAACCCGAGCGGTCGAAGAACAAAGGAAGAGAAAACAGAGCCAAAGGCAAAGCTGGAGTCTGAACATGCCATGAATACCATGCTATGACCCACATGGAAACTGCTCACCTTGTCCTTAACTATAGCTAAGTCTATTTCGAAGTGCATGTTGAAAAAATAAGTAGGGCTCTACAAACTCTTTGAATTCTGACATATCAAAACATTCACAAATTGAGAGTTAGTTCTTAACGTGTGCGAAGGTGATAATATTCTAGATTACTTTGTACTTTGTGCATTCTGACATGTTAAAACATGTACAACCAAAGAGATTTACAACTTGAGAGTTAATTCTTAACGTTTCTTGCCTACTTATTCTATCACAGGCGACTGGAAGCCAGGGTAAGTCCGTAATCGCCAACGGCACGGAGACGCTCATAGTCATTCCAGACGAGACCTTTGACTCAAGCGATGACGACCTGAGTTCTTTGGACGACAACAATCCAGACGAAGGTTACGGCTACGGTAACGGCACAGAAAAGGTGGGGATCGCTAGTATCGTGGGCACCAAGGCAGCGAATCAGCAAAATGGTGGGAAAGGAAGTAAAGGCAATAGCACCAACGCTTCTCCAACAAAAATGTTCTCCTTGGGTGCGACCGACACTGTGATAACCAGTGACGAGCTTATACGGAATCCAAAGGCTGATCAAAACGCGACAGCGACCAATGGTACCGCTGTGAACGATGCAGGAGCGGCTGCAAAAGCGGGAGAATCATCGACAACAACACAAAGTGCCGCTCAGCAGGTAAACGCACCAAGTGAAAATGGGCCTGTACCTGATAGAAGTGACAACGCCACGAGCAATCCGCCAGAGGACAATACACCTGTTCAAGAGAACAACAACAACCCGTCACCAAAAGGACCCGTGTCTCTTCTTCTACAAAACGGAAACGGGGACACTCTGAAGAAGATTCACGTAGGAGATAACTTCAGCGTGGCGGTTAACATTGTACTACAGACCATGGACCCTACAGGAGTTTTACCAAATAAACCTGTTGACGCCTCTCTTAACAACGTGGCCGAACAAAATGGAGCTTTCAGTGAAAACGGCGTCTCTGTGGGGCAAAATGTTGTAAAGGTTGTAAACAACGATCAACAGGTGGCTGCGGCTAACGCATCTGGAGAACAAAATATGACTGTAGCAGAGAAGAACCTCTTGGAACTAACGGGTAATGAAGAATGTACAGACACTGACAAAACCACAAATAATACAACAGAAGACAACACAAACGTAAGCGGAAGCGATTCTGTCGGTGCAAAGCAGGGTCTTCCCGAAGTTATCGTAACTGATCACGAAGAAGACAGCGAAGAGCAAATTCAGGAGGGAACTACAGAACAGACACTTGAAAAAGAGATGGCAGCTGACTTGAGTGCATCAGGAAAGCAAAGAAGAATGCTTCAACTTCTCCGGGACTTCGACTTGAAGAAAAAGTTAGAGGAACGGATCAGAAACCGCGCGGAAGAACTCGACAGTAAAGCGGACGGGCGATCAAGCAACGGGGACGTGAAGGAGCAGAATCTGTCCAATGAAACGATCGAGAGGAAAATTCCTGAGCCGAACGTCCCACACAGGAAAAAGGCAGCGGTTCTGGGCACAGAGGAGACCTCCCTGTTCAAGCACATAGAAGTACACGCGGTGTACCACGCACTCGAGGTGAGATAAACTTTGATCTATTCATTGAGGTTCTGTGAAGCATCTCTTTAGAAGAATTCCCCCTTAACCTCGTTTATTCCAAGAGTGGCTTGGTAAGCTTTTATCAATAAGTGCTGGTAACGTATTTTACATGATGATGTCACGATCTGTTGAGTCATGTCATACCCCGCTACTATTACATCATAATGGAGTGCCTTATGTCACGACCCTGCATTGGTGGTAACCAATTTTTTTGGCGTATGTTGCTGTGATTATGCATATGTATGATAAAAGCCCTTTGGAATCTTGTCAAGTTGAAGTTGAAAGTTGGAAGTTTTATTAAAAACTAGCAGGCCTAGCCTGAGAAGCCCAAATTGTGTCCTCATGTCATGAATGAAACTTTAAAACCTAGTGATCATAAGACAAAGAGTAACATCATATTCACATGTACATTTACAAGTAAAAACACACCCACACACAATATCATAGGAGATGTATTTCAGAAGTCGCCAATGGCTTGATCTATGCGAAATAAGCATGAATTGTCTTTACTGCTCAACAATCATATGTATAGCATCTAGACGACAATACTTACTAAACGAACTATCCTACAATATCTTCATTTCCACAGCCTCCAAAACCAGCTGACACCTTCTCCACGCTCGTGAGGACCCTCCTCATCCATGACCTCTCTGACCTTGAGAAAGTGCGCATGCTCTTCCACTGGATCACTGCGCAGAATCTACAGGATATGACGTTCGGCGATGACGTAGTTGAAGACTCGCCCCTGGGTTACCTGAAGGCCATCAAGGAGGGGAAAGGAAACTGCGCCAAGCTCTTCGAACAGCTCTGCTGGTATGTTCTCTCATTCTCTTTGCACATAACATAAATATGTCAGTATCATATTGGCAGAAGACGTCAACCAATCAGAAGTCCCTATTTCGTTGTATTTCTCTGTTACGACCAGTATGAGGTTAGCTCTTTAGTGAGCTAAAACTGGAAGAGATTGAGATCAATTTCATTTCCTTCCTTCCTTCCTTCCTTCCTTCCTTCCTTCCTTCCTTCCTTCCTTCCTTCCTTCCTTCCTTCCTTCCTTCCTTCCTTCCTTCCTTTCCTCACCTTCCTTTCTCTTTTATATTGGCCAGGACGTCATGATCATAACCTTACCAGTGATTATCATATCACACAAACACCGTGGTGTTAAATCCCATAAACACCGCAACCCATGTGACCCCAGATTGAACACGCGTTCTGTTCAAATCCCCGCCGATGATGACATCAAATTGAACACGTTAAACGACGATAAGGACATATTGTACACGATACATTTTGTTTAGTTTACAAAATCTGACATGCCATATAGTAGTACCCCGCATGTCTCTCGGTGTGACAAGGCCTTCATGAAATGTACCAATTCTTGCCTAACTTATTTTACTATTTGTTGTATTATACAGTAAAGGACGTCAGAGGTTTCTTAGTCTTAGTTTCTTAATCGTTTGATTCAGCACGATGCTTTATTTTCTCCTAGTGCTGCAGGTTTGAAATGCCATGTGATCAAAGGGTACAAGAAGGGTGACGACTGTCTGCCGGACCATAATTTCCAGGAACATCGGAAGGATCACCGCGGCACGTGGAACGCCGTGATGGTGGACGAGGAGTGGCGGCTGGTCGACTGTCACTGGGCGGCACGCGGCGTCAGGGCTATAGGTACGTTTTGTACATGTTATTTTTTATTCAGTATTACAGTATTCACTTGTTTGTCCGTGTGTTTGTAGCAGAGAGGGTTGCAGGGAGAGAAGGTAAATTTTGGTTACAGTAGATTGACAGGGAGGTCAAGTCTGAGGGTGATTAGGCGAGCGGGAGTAAAAGGACGGTATATAGAGGAGTTCAGGAAGTGATGGGCTGTTTAGGCCACACCAAGTAAATTTTATGGATGACGTCCTTTGGAGACCCTAAATCTAATGCGAGAGGGCGGAGAAAAAACAAGAAGGGCCCTAAAAAACAAGATGCCTAGATTAGAACTATACTAAGAGACAATGTTAGGACACAAATTGAATGAGGTGACACAGTGTAACAAGCAAGAAGTCTTTTATTCATCATCAAAACAGCAATAAATCAGGTGGAACAGCAGTTGTCGTCTTGTGCTTTGGGGAGATAGATGGAGCGGTCAGCAAGTTTCTTCAAATGTGGCAGCATGTACCAAACTGAATTCCTAATTGAAGTCATGATTTCCTTACTTGATGCTTCATAAGCTTTGGTCCGTACAAACATAGTATTTGCGGCACTGTCGTGACTCTGGTCATAGTTACAGGAAGCGGAATTTCTTGGGTTTTTTTCTAGGAACAGGCCAAAATCAATGCGCGCGCGGACGTCATCCATAAAATTTACTTGGTGTGGCCTTATAATACCCGATTAGATTACGTCATACAGCCCCTCCAAATTAAGTTGACATATATTCCCGTAATTATAATAAACTAAAACTCTTCCTGTACGTAGGTCTAAAATCTTGTTTCTAAGATACATGACTTATAATATCCATGTATTTGCAATTCATATAGCTAGTAACTGTTTAAGGGTATGCATGCCCATAGTCATTACTATTGTGTTACTCAACATGTTTCTGTATATAGTAGATGTTAGCTTTAATTACATTACAAATTGTTTTGCTCTGTTGTAGAAGAAAATGGCGGGCCCATTGAGAACGTCAATGATGTCTACAAGTACGAAGAGTTCTACTTCCTCACCGACCCCGAGGACCTGATCGACACTCACTTCCCAGACTGTCCTGAGTGGCAGCTGCTGGAAAAGTACCTGACGATCACACAGTTCCAGTCGCGTGTCAAACGCTGGCCCATGTTTCACCAACTCGGGCTCAAACTGAAGAGCCACCGCGCGGTTGTGGTCATCACTGCAGGTGACTGCGTGGAACTGTGCCTTGGCTTTTCAAAGGAGAAACGCAAGGATTTTAGGATTGTGTATCAACTTAAGACAAGGGAGGGAGGTAATGAAGTAGATGGCGTCAATTTGAACCGATACGTGTTGCAAGAGACATGGGACAGCAATGAAAACTTCACAGTTGACGTGCCAAAATCGGGCTCTTATGTTTTGGACATCTACGGAAAACCCTGTGCAGAAGTGCCAGGTAATGACGTAAAAGTTTGTCAGTACATGATCGTTTGCGACACAGAAAAGCACACAAGCATGCCCTTTCCAGAACACACGTCGACTTGGGGTCCTGGAAAAGTATTGGTTAGCAGCGGGATTTTCCCCGTGTCACACGCACGCGCAGTCGTGAGATCCCAAGGTCAAGTTGTACTGACCTTTCAAAGCAACCGCCATCTTGAATTCAGACACAGACTGTACATGCAGACATTTGACGAAAAGGGGCTCGAAGATTTGGTCGTACACTCTATCGCCAATAACAAAATTTCATTCTATGTAAGAACCCCAACCAAAGGCAAATACGGGCTAATTATATTTGCTAAAGATCCAAGTGATGGCACTTTGAGACCGGTATATTCCTATGTCATTATCTGTGATAAAGAACCAAACAGTTTCACACCATTTCCGTTGGTCCAAGATGGCCAGTTCGGCACAAGGCAACCATACTTCTCCGAATCTGGGCTCATCGAAAACGAAAACGCGTCCTATTTCTTAACGTCGGAAAATAATGGCGAGGTCGAGGTACAGCTTGAAAACCCCTATCAGAAGCAGATCATGTCTTCACTGTCCATACGAACTGACAATGGCACTGAGAAATGCGATCGGTACACTCTGACACAGGCTTTAGGTGAGAAAACTGTTATTTTGGTGCATCTACCTCAGGTGGGCGAGTACGCCCTGCAGTTATTTGCAAGAGACTCTCAGGGACAGAAACGAAACGTTGTGAACTACTGCATCAGCTGTAATGTGGCAAAGGAGGACTGTAAACCTTTCCCCTGTCATAATGACAACACTTGGGGTCCCGTGTACCCCACTTTCTCTAACCTCGGCTTGGCGTTGGACGTTCCACAACGCCCTTATCTCATAAGCAGGTCGGGCAAATATAACGTGAGTCTGGCCATGACGCAGCCGCTGATGCTACGGCATCATTTCTTCCACTGCGCCGACGAAACCAGAGAGAACATGGACGACTTCGCCTTTTGCGAGACGATAAAACACAAGGCGACCATCACGACTTGTTTCCCAAAAGCAGGAGACTACTGTCTGGAAATCTACGGCACAACCTTTCCTCCTTCCGACAATGACCTTCCCCTCGTGGCGACATTCTTCATGAGGTGCCTGCACCCCTTAGAAACCGGCTGTAAGACTTTCCCCCAAATCATCGGAAGGATGTGGGGACCCGGATGTTGTCTGTACGAGCCATTGGCGGGAGTCTTGTCACGTGATAGGGAGGTGACGTTTAGAGTAGATGTCCCGGATGCTGATGACGTAGTTTTGAAGAGTGCGGATTCCGTGACAGACATGTGCAAGGACCAATCAGGGACATGGACGTGCAGCTACACACCTAGCAAAACGGAGACTTCGCTTTTGTTACTGGGAAAGTTTGACAAGAATGTGAATAGATATGTCGGGTTACTAGAGTTTAAACTCGACAACTGAGAGCAAGCTACATCAGCAGTTGATCAATATTGACAATAACCATGCTTGGAACTGTATGATGGAAGAGAACAATAAATCTAATTTTTTATTGACCACATTCACCTTCTCTGAATGTTTATCTGTTTCTTTCGTACTGCGAAAAAGTTCCCTTTTTAACTAGATTTGACAAAAATAGATTATTTTTGTTGCAAACTAACTTTAGCCTTAACTGGTTGTTGACATGGTTTTGCAGATGCCACAGTTCTAACTTATCGGCAAGTAGAAAACAATAGAAGATGGCCATGGTTGCTACTGTACATGTACAGAACTGTACATCTACATGTACATGTAAATGTTACAGTTAGTCCATTTCAGATCAGTGGCGACATTAATATTTACAAGTAGATACAGTAGGTTTCTTGTACTTACAAAAGACTCATCAACTTTAGGCAGACGTTGTTAGGCAAAAACAAGGTTCTAAAGATTCAATTTCCAAGTAACGACAACAGAGCTCATCATTATAATGACGATGCAGTTCGAAGCGCTGCGAAAGAATTGGCTAAAATGTGACACGGCAGAGACTGCATGGTATAAGATAGATATATGTTCTAGACCTGGCGTAAATATATTTGCATAAGCTGTCCTACTTTTCTAACTGTTGTATATTTTTGTCAGAACTCTGCTAAACACTTGCTTGGCCATCTGGGAAGAGCTGCGCCTGCGCGTTCTGTTCTCCATCATTTTGCGCCTGCGCACTTCCCGGCACAGTTCCTCAATGGCTTCCGAGATGACGCCGTCGCCTAGCAACGCGGACCCCTCAAAATATCCACACGACAACTCCTGTGCGAGTTTTTCCCCCTCGTCCGTGGTGATACATCTCTCGTGGTTCAGGTCCATTTTGTTGGCCAGTATGACGGCGGTGACGTTGCGAGGTTTCTTCGCCTCGTCCAGAAACTCTTTCATCCTGCCGACGTCATGGAAGCTCTGCTTATCAGTCACGCTGTAGACCAATAGGAAGCCGTCACCCCATCTCACGTGACCCTCCCACTGTCGGCGGTTGTCCTGTATGTAAATTATTCGAAAATTGATGAATTTCAATCTAAGTACGTACACTTTCAAAGCTAGATTACCATATCGTTAATCTACTCCGACCAAGAACGATAATATTCATAAGACCATATGATACTAGTACTCCGACATTTCCAGGTGAATAAAATATTTGCTGTTGTTAAATAATTAGTTAACTGGGGGGGGGGGACTTTTTGCCATCCGTAATTCGTGACCATTGCATGTCCAAATCATGAGATATCAAGACCGGAAGTTCTGCTGCAGTACCGTAACAAACAGCCAGGTGGCCAAAAATCTAATCATTTTGAGGGTCTCATCAAAACCTACCTACCTACATGTACCAAGTTTAAATTTCATGACAATCATCCATAGATTTTTGAGTTGTCGCACTAAAGAAAATACAAACATGTACACACCACCGCTACCAAACAATACACTCTCACCCCATATAGCTGGCCCGCCGTGTCAAAAATTTCCATGGAGACGACGTCATCGTCCACCAACGTCTGGTGTTTGTATGAAAATTCTGTGAAGGGAGAAACAAAATGGATTACGACAGGATAATGACCCCCAAAAAATAGACCATGCGTTTCAATACCATGCTGTTGGTTGATGATCACTAGCATCGGTGCATTGCTGACCAAAAGTGTAATATGGCACAATATCGCTAGATGTCGCCAGCTCACGTCTTTAGTTGTGTGCTCTCTTGTTTTTACAGACCCCAGAACGAATCGGACCTGCAACTGCAACACAAACCGCTACTTTGGTGGATAGATATAACCGATGGGTTAGTTCGATTCTCAGCACTACGTAAAGTATACATCCTTCAAATCAAATGCATATTAATAGTACACGCAATAGGGGATTTTGAAAACATATTGAGTATCATTTCTTACACCGGCCATACAACGTTTAACACTGGGTGGTCGATGGGAGAATTAGCCTCGTTTACATTACACGCGTGCACAGTGTTACACAAACCCTTGTGTACCCGTCAGCCCGGTAACGGACCCAAATCCCCGCAGTAGCGCACAGTTCAGCCGGTAAAGCCTTAAAACAAACACCGTGCTGGGCGGTGGGCGTTCGTGGGTTAGGCCAAGTCACCGTGGAGAATTGGCCATTTGCCGAACACAAGAAGCTATTTTTACTTCAAAGTATATAGTCCATTGCCCGTGGTGTAGCGTGGGTTATCACTAGGGGTAATGGAGTAACAATCATATGCCCCCTCACCTATATCTTTAGAGGAATAACGTTATATCTTTAAAGGCATCCAGTGCAGTTTTTTGGGCTTGAAAACCTGATTTTTCAAAGTCAATATTCTAGTCACTTATCTACATACTGAGTTGAAACCACACTATCCCAATGTATATTGACCTTCAAAGAACAAAAATACCCCACATTCTGACAGAAAATGGTTACTGGAAGGGCCCTGGGCTGATTTTTAGGGTACCACCCATAAAATAAAGGACTCATCTTGAGGCTTGTTTCTGCAGTTTTAAATACCCAAAGTATGAAATACTGATTGAAATATGCTAATTTGAAGCAGTATGTGTCAATATCATAAAGATTGCCTTATTCAGAATAGTTCAAGTTTTGCTGCTCTGAAATCGCATTGAATCACTGAATTACATGGAATAGTCTAACTCTGATTGCAACATTCACTAAGCGTGGTGTAGTAAGTTATACGACAGCAGTGATATAGCTGCTACGTTTTTGACACCCTATTTTTACTGTCAGTAGACTTGACTCAGATTTCCTTACACCGGTCAAGGTCAAAATGTCAAGTCTTCATGTGTTTGTCTTGTACTTGAGAGGGAGACAAGCAGTCCCGTCACTTATCACACAATGGGGTTGTATATACTACAGGTGAACAGTCTACTCATTTGAAGGCGATAAGTTTATGATACCAATATATATCGCATATAAATCAAATGGCCTGGGGTTCAAAACAAGATGTTGGTACGTAACTTACCCAAAGTTGGGTCATACTCCCAGATAAACCTCCGTGTTAGATATCGCACCACCAAAGCTGGAATATGAAAGAGAAAAAATAGATATATTGGTTTCTTCAAGGTATGCTGCTGCATATGTGGACTGTTAACGACGCTAGAAAAATTGGTAGGAAGTTGGGCAATGGCAACCTCTTTCTCCTGAATACTTATAATGTACTAAAATGAGCGATTTGCCTTTTGAAAATTTGACTGCATAGTTAGATACATTTCAGGCACAGGTTACATTCAAGCTTCTACTAATAGTACTATACTACCTAAAGTAGTGTCAATCACAGAGGTTTTGGCACTACAGCCACATATACACTACAAGAACGGCCACTATGCCCCCTTTCCCCATATCCTCCACACACTGACAGATACACCGCACGATTTACAGTCTTCCCATTGTGAGCCACACATGTCAGTCCAGCCGTCCAGATGTTCTGTACTGACAGATAAACAACCTCCTCCTCACACACGGCCTGTCCTGTTTGAACGGCTGAACCTCGGCAAACGTGTCGGGTGTAACGTTTCCTTGTGGTGGTAAATTTCTAAGTACTGGCTCTGCTCCTTTAGTCTGGTATAACTTCGCTTGCCTAGTCTCTTTTGCTCTATCCGCGAAGAGATTTGGCAGCTCTATTAGGCTTGGATACCAGGCTACCGCCTTGTACGGTCAAAAGTAAAAAACTAAATTCTACTATTCAGAAGAAGAAGATGAAGTTGGGCGTAACTCGTTCTTCGATGATGCCGCAAGGAAGTTTCAAGTTTTGACGTCCAGCATCCTCTTTCCCTACAACTGAATGGAGGAGGGGGGGGGGGGTACAATACACCCCCTACAAAATCTAGACGTAGCCATGCCGATCTTGAAATAGCGAGAACATCATCTCCTCTAGAACACCCTCCATCTCCAATCCACCAAATTGAAAGATTTCTAGTCTCTAACAGATTTATTTCATAAAAGAAGTTATTCGCGGGGTGAATGACTGATAAGGTGGTACTATCTATCGTCCCAGTAATCTTGAATTAGACCAGAATTAGAAGCAGCGGTGGAATGTATTTTACGACTTTAGCTTCTTTCTCTCGGGAACTCTCTGGCCTTGTTCTTTTATCTCCACATGTTATCAAACAGCCGACCACAACATGACGCTAAACGCGTGGCCACTTCACACTCCTCCACACTAATGTTGACCTGAAATCCTGACGTTGTCGCGATGTCGGTCACGACAAAATGTTGTGATAAAGAAGCATTCCGAGGTCTTTCAAGTACCATAACTGGAAAGTGTAAAAGTAAGTAGCTTTGAGTGTTGTATTAAACCTGGGCTGATAGTGCTTTGAGCCTCTCCAGATTGTAATACAGTTACAGATGCCGTGCCATACTGTTTGTTTCTTAGGAATAGATCTAGGCCATTTCTGTGACTGTATACCTCTGTGTTTTATACAAACCATCAGTTTAGAAGCTCCCAAATGCAAATTTTCTTTCTTATTGCGAAGAAGGGTTTCAAATAGTTTAGAATATCAAGAAAAAAATGGCCCACCTGATTTACCGACGCCCATCCTTCCCATGACCACTAGCTTCACATCCGGGACTTTAGCACCAGATGCCGAGCGCTGATGATTGTTCATCATTCACGGCTTGGGAGGAGGAAGGCGATAATAAAAGTCTCCAAATATCTCCGAGACGTTGTTCTTTACTCTTCAGACGAAAACTGAAGGTCTTTAATCCATTGTGTCGAAATGTTGGCAGGAAACCGGTAGAGAGTGGTTGTCATGGTTCTTGAAAGTGGATAATCTCCTGTATGAAGAGAAATATTTATGTTACGGAAGAACATTGAATTTCATATTCTTGGTACCATTTCAAAATTTTGATGTTGTTATAAGCTTTAATTTCTGAAAGACACCGACCCTCTCTTGAGCAACTGCTCAGTCGGACTATCAGTGTCTGAACAATATATCAATTGAAAGGATCGACCATATAAAAACATCCATGTACTGTACATGTAGACAGAAAGGTTCCTTGGTATGTGTGTCTTACAGTTACTTGTTTCAGGAAATGCTAGATTGGCTACTTCTTCCGATTGGAAAGAGAGCTCTCCTCACCTCCAGCCCTCCCTAAAACGTTCCGGTGACCCCTCCCCCACTTTTCTTTCAGTTCAAATTTACAAGAGGCCCAGTTGAATGATGCAGTTGACACAAGAAAACCCTTTTGTCAACAAACGTCTTGGAGTAAAAATACATGTTCAAGATTCCTCGGTGTGTGGGGCCTGAAACCTAACCGAGAGCGGGTCATCACGCTCATCAAATCACCCGTGAAATTTGCCAAAAATATCACTGTGAGTTCGAGAAGTGACATAGAAAAGCATTTCTTTCTGTTCAGTTGTAAAAACGACGGTTTCCCCAGGCTTTCTTAGATCTCACGGTCATGGTCTCAGGTTTTGCATAAAGGATCCTTATCAGTGTGGTGGCTTGGATGAGCCGGGCAGTTGTGGGAGAAATATTGTTGTTTCAAGGGGAAATATTGCTGTCTAGGTAAAGCTGAATTTTCGTCTACGGAAAGAGTAATAAGACAGCAAGTTGGGCAATAGAGTGGGAGGAGTACTGTATATAATGTGACTGAAAGAAGTGGGCATGGACTGGGGGAGGGGATACTTACCGTATGTGTACAGTAAATTTCCAGCCACCACGACAAGGTGTAACACAAGTCTGGCCCGTACATGCTAAATATTACACTTGGTGAATCCCAGCTGCAGAAATTCACCATGAAAACATTTTCTATTTCTCGAAATGCTGAGGGCCTGCCATTTTTTTTATTTACCTAGTAGGGTTTTAAAACCCGACGAGAAAACTGCAATTCGTCCCTAGGCTCACGGTCTCTTAATGCTGTTTGCTCAACAGAACGGACTATCTGTAAATGGCAAAAGTATAAGACAAATTCTCTTAGGAGGAATTTAGATTTGTTTTTAGGAATGGATTCACTGTGCAGAAAGACAACAGTTATAGACAAAAGGGCTGCTACCTAGAAGTATCTGGGGCACGCATGTGTACACATCGCAGAAACTGGCTTCCGGTTCAAGCTTCCTTAAGAGCACCAGTAAGGCACCACTGCGTAGGCGATGCCCCGGGTCTTAAGAACTTAAACAAGCGTGGAAAGTGTTCCTTCACAGCACAGGTGCACAACTAACTAGACTTTACTTACCGCACTATTTCTTGGAACTTGGCATCGCTTCAGGTAGGAGTATACACGGTGGCGCAATCAGTTTGAAGAGACAGGGACGGCTGGTAAGGTTTGGAGTGGAGTGGAGTACTGCACACTGGGGAGTGATAGGACCAACAAGTCTGGCGAGTCCAGAAACACGGCCCTGTACAAACAGTGCTATACGACCCCGGCGCTTGACAGTGGCGTGTTAAGAGGATGCCATCTGACCCGCTGTAGACACTTCACAATTTCTCGTCTGTCGTTAAACTTTTTAAGGAGGTTTTTGGTGTTTTAATGCAGGGACGGTACGTTGTGTAAAGCTGGAGTTAGAATTTTAAGACGGGCCCCGGCTTTTAATGAACGAAAAAGAAAAAAAAATGTCATATCAAGAATATGCATCAATTATGCTTATGATTATGTTTTATATTTTATATCAAACTTTTCTCGCAAACTGACAGGCCGGGCCCGGTTTGGACATATGAACCTATCATTAGACTGTGGTCAGTACTGCTCACAATTGATAAGCCACAATCTCGGAAAATAAGTTGATATCGTCATAAGGAATGCACGATAGGGTAGACAGATTGCCCTTTGTTTAACTGCAGTTGACATTCACAGAAGTATGCAGGACTTTTCACTACATCTTATAGACTAAGTCAAATTTTTCGTTTTCATAAGTTTTTATCCGACTTTTGTTCTAGAGCACGTTTGTTTCAAACCCCAGTCCGATTGCCGTTATGTTAAAATCAATACCGTGATAGAAATCTCTCGAGGTTTGTACCAAATATTTGATCCCAGATTACCGAGTACAATCGAAAACTCTGCTGTCGCGAACACAACAGGCCCTTTCAGACAAAGAAAACATGACCTGGATATAGCCGTGTTGATCTACGCTATTAATGTCAATATCATAAAGATTGATAATCTCAGTTCGTGTAGGATACGGTGGTATGTGGCGTTTGATAGACAGCTTATAGCTTTCTGGGGGGCCTAGGGGAGTTTGACTAATGGATCATTACTGGACATAGGGTAGAAAGGGCCCTGGGAAAACAGGAAAGACTGTTTTGGACAGGTAGCAGCCTTCACAGTAGCCTTCATAGCATGTCAAAAACTGGGGGTTTGGGGGTCTTCAGGGTCTTAAGGAGCTTTTATGTGCTATTTTTGATTGCATATAGACAACATAGCCGTTGTACCATAGCTGGCCTGGTTGAATTACCCCCGTTTTTTTAGATCTAGGCTAATCAGAAAACAGCCGAAGACCACCAAACCCCCAGTTCTGTAAGCCTGCTACGGAGACTACCTTCGCAGCGTTATCAAATCGTTAGTCTCCACCAGGCCTTCCTAAGGTGTTATGGATAGTAATAATAGGGCAAAAATAGGGTGACTAATTGGCCAGAGAAGTTTCGGTAAGGGTAACATTTTCCAGGGCGACACTAAATTCCATAGGCAAATTATTCTCACAGTAGCCAGCGAAGTTAGTCTGTTAGAGACTACAATTCCACTAGGTGCATGGAAACAGTATGATGAGATACAAAAACCATATATATGCAACGACTGATATTTCTTTTTTCCCTCCCCATCCATACTGGCCCGTCCCTATTTTGTCATGTCGTACATGTACGTCAGAGGTAAAATTACATTGTCGTCGTGCCGCATTTTATGTTGGCTATAAAAGGTTACCACTCGAGCCTGTACTTCAGCTTTAGAGAGCGCTGACGTTGATTGTCATAGCCCAAACACCGTGACAGTCTATATATAGTTCGTGCAGAATGATGAACCTCTTCTTACACAGAATAAGTCAGAGCAACAAGACCAGCAAAACCATGTACCTACCAAATCACATAAAACATCAAGCTATTAGAACAATAAAGGTACTAGATAGACGTGGCTATACTTCATAGAGCTCATTTTTCTCGCAAACTTGTAGGTTTTGCAAATGAATCGGGCTGAATTTAGTTGACTCCTTTGCCCTGTGTTCTCTATATTATATATCAGGTATAAGAGAAGACAGCAAAGAGCGACAACGGACGAGCCTACGTACCTTATCACGCAAACACAACAGTTTCACACGCGCTCGCTACCTTCATGACCACAGCCTCTGATGGGCGTAACACAAACAACGTCTGCATTTACACGCACATAAAACACGTCAACTCAGGCTCGATGCAAATAAACTAACGGCCCGGTTAAAGGGGGGTTGCGTCAACACGGCCAAATTAATGACCCACCAAACAAATCGTGAATCAGTTAACACCGGTCAGCTCTTCAGGTAATATGTTGGCGATTACAGCCAGATGACCGCCCGGTCAGCGATTTAAACGAACTGTACGTGTATGTGCATGTTTGCCCTTGTATGGTAAGGGTTCCAAGTGATAGGAGATCATCATGTATACATTTTGTACGCTTATGTCGAACACGATTTGGGGACACTGGGGCCAAATTTTGACCACTGCGTATTGCTGAATTTGTTGGCCATGGATTCAGCAAAGAAAACGTTCTTCCTTTCTATACGTCGATTATTTCCATATCAATTTTGTTAGGTTTTTCCTTTTGTTTTCATTTAAGAATGAAGGACGAAATTAGTCTGAGCCCTGTTGTATCCAGAACCTTGCTCAGGCACGGGTTTGGATAGTCCATGCGTATCCAGAATTGTGCCTGGGGCAAATCTGCGTTCTTGGGTACGCGGAGACTATCCACAACCGTGCTTGATCCTAACACTCACCAATTTTGGCATTTTAAAAACTAGATAGGCACGGTTTTGGCTACAATAAACTCCGTACACAGGGGCATTTGCTTGAGCTCAGGTTGACTGTGGATATATTCACCCATGTTGAAGAAACTCTATAGTATACGCGATATGGGCTAGGTTGTCGCTTAAGCGACCAGCCTGGTACTTTAACCGAATCTTTTCTGTGATGACACCACTTGACATCTTTGTTAAGCCGAAAGTCCGTACCCGGTCTCGGGTTGTTTCTAACACAAAGGGAGGCATTTACAGAGATTCTTCTTTGTTTGTTTGACTTTGGTAGAAGATGAAAAGACTTCACAGGGAGTCGAGCTGATCTGTTGTCCTCGGGTCAGGTGGACTTTGCTCTACGCTTTGGCTGGGGATCTCTCTGGATGAAAAGGGAGAGATCTATATATATCATATCAATTTGGGTGGCATGGCGGGGCCAGGGCTTTGTTTCTAAACACAGACGACACCTGTTTTTGTGTTCAGAAAAATACCCGATAAAATCGCGAGACAACTAGTAATAGCGGTATATACTGCATGGTCTTATATGTCACAGGAAAGGTTTTCACAATTGTTTGTATTTTCACAAAAGCTGACTTGAGGTGTCTTGTACAGGTTAGTTAGAGGGTTCGTAAAGTCGTCCTCTTGTTTCTCAGTCTTCTGGAGACACGGACGGAAGTCTTGGTAAACCAAAACCCACAACACAGATAGGAGAATTGTGCGAGGAAGCGACTCTTTTCAAGGACCGGAACAGTCAAGACATACAATACCTCCGCACTGTCTACCTCGTCCTAGATACAGTACCACAGTTTTGTTTGAAATTGAAAGCACTTGAAAACAAGATTTGACTGTAACAAATAACATAGAAATCGCCTCCCCTTTTTCATAACCATTTCTGAGGTAAAAACACAGAAAAAATGGCTTACCTTCAGTTCTTAACACCTTTTGAATGCGAACTCACGTGCACTCAAGCCGTTTAGTCTTATTCTGAAATTCAAAAGCTCCAAGCAAAACTGCTTTACGATATGACACCAGAGTGAAGGGAGAGGATTTGTCGCGTGTATATATTTCTACCCACGCGTAATGACTTATACGGTGTCAATCACCCGCGGGAAGGTCAGAGGTCAGTCCACGGGCCAATCCTCGCCACGCTTACTCTTTAGAGCCCATCTCTTACCTGCTTGTAGACGGGTGTCTTTCCTTTGTGCTCAGCTGCCCGTCCGTGTCACCAGCAAGGTAACCCAATCACTCAGGACGGACCATGTATGTAAATATACAAACACCTGCAGCAGAAATGTACACAAGCCGGGACCGAAATAGACAAACGGGTGTCTATTACATGATGGGTTGAGAGGTCGTAGGGAGAGATGTACCTGACACAGAACACATGTTTTACCCTTAGAGCATATTCTTGGCATATTCTCGGTATGCTAAAAATGACTGTTAGAGAGGACGGTTAAGTTTGTAATGCCGTGTTTGTGTAAGGCGGTTTGAGGTATCACAGGTCCCGTTCAGCAGACGGGTCGCGAGTGTGTACGTGACAGGAGCTGTGTATCCGTCTGTCCACTTGAGTTTCATAGTAGACGTTCCATTTAAAAGCTACAGAAAATACCAAAAGCTGAATCTGATGTATGAATGTAGGCTGGAAAGAGAAGAAATTTACCAAATTGAGAGATGACATGCCAGGAAAGTTGGTCCGATAGAGAGTACAGCTTGCAGACCAACTCCCCTGGCATTTTATCTCTCTATTTGGCCAATTTCTACTCTTTCCAGCCGCCTTCCAAAGCCCGGTAGGGGCTAGTATGAATGCCCTATTTATAAAATCAGAGTAAAAATCTTCTGACCTAGGAGAACAACATATTTTCTCTATATATGTAAAACCAAATCATTGAATTTCTAAGAGAATGGTTCCCTTACCTATATTTGATCTAAAGCGACCACGTGTCAAAGCTTCAAGTAAAATATATGTATCGATGTTGTTTACATCTGCCTTATCTAGAGAGCGTGATCAATAAACAAATTAGTGTTCAGTCAATAAACAACATGGCGACCTTTTTAACACCATGTCCATCCATATTTCACCACCGTGTCCATTGTCCGTTACTTAGGCCATGTTAATTTGACTATATGGATGACATCCCCTGGGAACGTAAAACTGGTGCGAGTGTGTGAATAAAACAATAAGTTGCCATCATTATGAAATCTACGTAGTCATGAAGGTTGAACAAATGACTAAGCACACAGAGTATGGTATGGTGAATAATAGACTCTTCATTTTCATTTCTTTACATTTTCTTATTTTCCTTTGGAATTGATTTTGATATTCTATGACATTAGTATCATTTACCAACATTTTTTTCTGTAATTTACGGCATATATTTGGTCATTTTGCAGCTGCTTTGTACGATCTACAGTATGGTCAAAAACACTTTTTGGGAAAGGAAAGAAACTTCATGCTCGCGTAGATGTCATCCATATAATCAAATCAACATGGCCTCACCAAATCGACCAACTGACCTCTCCGTGGGGTAGTTTGGCCCATTAATCTGTCCACACTGTTGACCATACCTCGGCTTAAATGTACCCTCGTTTGTCAAAATGTAACGTTTGGTTAAGGCAAGGCAGTGACTTAAATGGGACACTTGCTTAACGACAAAAACATACATAATGAAAACATATCAGTCGTTTTTAATTTGGTAGCAACGGTTTACCTTTGATTCTTAGCAATTCCTTTGGAACTACTAATTAGACTTGGCAACGTTGAACAGATGCGTTTATTTTTTTATAAGACGAATAAGACTTCTTGATGCAAAAGAAAATTACATTTACCTAAGTTGTCATTTAGCAGCAAATGGGCCTACCGACATATTTGCAGGAAAAACAAGAAGGCAGATAGCTGACATCACAACAAAGGTATCGGTGTCAACGCCAGTGTGAGGCGACGACATATTACCCTGTCACACAATCACGAATTTGGCCTCCCGAACGCTAGCCAAACGCCCGCCGATCATGATTTGGAGTGGATCGGCTGGCGTTCGGCTGGGTCGGTTTAGCCTCTACCAGGCTTCGGGAGGCGGCTGGAAAGAGTAGAAATCGGCCAAATAGCGAGATAGCATGCCAAGGGAGTTGGTCTCTTCGGGAGCGGCAAAATGTTCTCTCCAGCAGACCAACTCCCTTGGCATGGTATCTCTCTACTTGGCCGATTTCTACTCCCGAAGCCTGGTAGAGACTAGGTTTGGCTGTCGTTCGGCTACGGTTTGGCTGTGCCAGCCGAATGTCTAAGAAATGTTGAAAACTCTCGTGGGCTGTTCGATCATAGTGGGCTGGTTTTTGACAGTAAGTCAGCAAAACAACAGCCAACCATCCGGGAGTCAGTGGTGTTTGGGGAGCTAGTGTTCAGGGGTCAAATTTGACTCCAATTTAACTCAAATTCATTTTGATTCACATACAAAGGGTATGGCTTAACTCTGGTTAGAGTACTAAGGAACGTCAGCCGAACCTGGTCGGATGGTGTTCGGGAACAAATTTGGGGCAAGGTCGTGACTGTGTGACAGGGGCTTTAACTACGTCCTGTTTGTCAGTATGACCACGCACGTACGTACACCTTGGATAGACTGTTGGTGTTAACAACAAGGGGCTGTTGGCAGTTGTCCGGCTACCTCCGATGTAAGACAGATTATAGAAGGAGATCACGGCGTTTCCTCTATTAAAGTGTCAGGGCTTATCTTTTGGTATCCTGTTGTTGTCGAAGGTTCTGCCGGAGGTTATCTTTTCTAGATAACTTGGGAAAATTCAGAAAAAGGTCACTCGGTCATTGGCCCTGAAACGACTCTTACAAAATGTGAATTACCAATCTAAAAAGAAAACTTTACAGTCCAAACCATCTTCCAAAACCGTCTTTTCTTCATGTAGTTGTAGAGAGTTAATTCCTTCTTGCATCAGGTGACGAAAAGGGCGGCGCCCATCTCCGTTTCAATAGCCCCGGGCCCACACTGCAGTGCAATCACTACAGCAGGGGGTTAGTCCACTGCTAGTGTCGTGTTTTCAACCCATAGTCTTTCCCAAATGCTGAGTGCTAAGCAGAGAAAGCAAGAAAAGTCTTCGGTATGACTCGGCCGGGATCGAACTCACGACCTACCGGAATGCAAGGCGAGCACTCTACCCACTCTAGCCACTGCATCGTAGAAAGCTGAAGAAATATTTTGTGTTTTATCATTCATACTCCTATTACAAGTACACCTTAGAGGCCTGTCTATCTCATACAAAGTGTACATACGTGTCAGTGATGTCGTTTAACGGGCTAATCAACTTTTACTACTCATAAAGGTGTTACGGTCTTTCCTGTTTTCAAGACACTGTGGACCGAAACAATAGTAGACTTGATTTACATGCGACTTCTTGACCTTTTCGAGACCACTTGAACCAAGCAAGGTGACACAATAAAACAGCACTTGTCTCATAAATGTACGGATTTATTATTCACCTTGACGTGCACAGTTGTGATAGCCAGAAAAACATGTTTATATCAACGCTGGTGTGACCGGATATCATACCAAATCTGGTACATGTCTATCGGTTTATATGTTTATCGGTATAAGGAATGAAACCAAACCGTAAAGGACTTTAAAATTGGATTCTCATCAGGATTATATGTATGCATTTCTGATGAAGCAAAGACAACGTCAATATAATCCCAGTTTTACGTCATACTTTACGCGTCACGTTATACCAGTTTACTTTACATACGCCATGAAAAAATGACCCATTTCACTGTAGATAATAATAATCGTTTTTGATATAATATAATTTATCCTGCCTATATGATGATTTCTAACTTCGACAAGTTGCAGGTTATAGAAAAATAACAGAAGACAACAACAACAAAACATGAAAGCTTCTTAGAATTTCTTTGGAGTTCCGGACGATATTGCATTTAATCCATGGATACATCTGTATGTGTGTATTTAGCTGTAAATTTTGGTCAGAACTCTGTTGAACACCTGCTTGACTTGCTGAGACGAGCTGCGCCTGCGCTGTTTTCCCTCCATCATTTTGCGCCTGCGCACTTCCCGACACAGTTCCTCGATGGCCTCGCTGATGACGCCGTCGCCTAGCAACGCAGAACCCTCGTAATACGCACACGCCAAATCCTGCGCTAGCTTCTCTCCTTCCTCCGTCGACACGATGCGCTCTCGCTCCAAGTCCGTCTTGTTTGCCATCATCACCATGGAAACGTTTCTGGGCTTCTTGATATCGTCCAAAAAGTTTTTCAGCTGAGCAATGTTCTCAAAACTCTCCCTGTCGTCCACGCTGTAGACCAATAGGAAGCCGTCTCCCCATCTCACGTGACCCTCCCATTGATTTGTGCTATCCTGTAGAATAGCAGGCACGGGGAAATGTTCAATTAGGTGGGTAAAGGTTAGACATCCAGGTAATAAGACACGCAAAAAAACCCCAGTTAAGTTCGTGCTTATAAACCTGCATATCTCCTGCAGTCTCTTAGTGTCACTGACGAACGTTAGTGGATGCTACCTGAAACGTCTGACCGTTTCCAAAATGATATCCAGTTGCTTGAGTAACTGTTTTTTGCGAAATGTTCAATTGTCCACTTATTTTGTCTCTTGCCACTAGAGGCAATACGAAATAGCTTTTTGGGTGCCTGAAACTAATCTCCAAGCAGACATTTCAGTGGCTAAAAAGACAGTATCAAATTGGCCAGACTGTTACTATTCGCCACAGAGGACTCTCTCTAGATGACCAAGCTAACCGTAACGCTTTCGCCGCCAGATATCTGCTTGGAGATTACTTGACATGTCCATGGAGACATACTAGAGGGCGCTTTTCAGTATGGAAACGAAGTCACATATGTAGTACATGCCATTTATATTTTACTGATATGAAACATGAACCATCGTGATGATTCATCTCCAAATACCAAACATATACAGCAGCCAAGTGTTGTTACTATGTGAGACTGATACGTACTTCCCCAAGTTGCCCGGCTGTGTCCAGTATCTCCATGTTTATCACGTCATCTTCTATGGTGATCTGGTGACGATACGTGGACTCTGAAATTATAAAAAGAAAAGCTAGACTTAAAGGGCTGTCAGTGATATTTCCAATCAAGTTACATGTACTCCATATCTTTAATACAACAAATACAATGCACCATTTTAGACATCTGCGTTTGTTTGTTTGTTTCGCATAACCAATAAACATCCTTTAGGCGTAACACACCAGTTTTGTACATGTAAGTACAAGCTGCCAGACTGTAAGGTTTGAACTTCTCCCACCGGGAAAGTCCCCTACTCTTTTCGATAAGTGTGGTGGGTTCTTAAACGTGCGTAGGGTGTGGCTCTCCCCAAACATGGGACCTCAATTTAACGTCCTATCCGAGGGACGTCCCTAACCGAAGCTAGGTACTCATTTTCATGTGAATTATGTTTATGAACTAAATTCGAGTTCCCAATGATAATGTATTTAGAGGTAATTGGGATTATCCACAATGTTTAATTAGTAACCGCTGGAGTTTCTCATCACTGTGTCTTATACTTTTTCTATGTTGATCAATATAACAATTACAGTGTATTTTTTCTAACATACACTGCACCGTTATAGCCTAATAAAAACGGACCTACAATGCAAGGTACCGGTAAAGTAGAATTCTAAACCCGATGCGAAAATAGCATCAGGGTATGGACAATCTCACCGTGCAGTACAGTGTCAACACATCCATATCATTATCAAACAGCACTTTCTTTATTTCCCATCCCCCACCTGTCCTTTTCCCACCCCTCCTCAGACCTGACATCACCGGTAAAACATTAATGACACAGCTGTACAGGAATGTCTCTATCCCACCTGACTACGCGTACTCCGTTAATTTCCGATGGGAGTCAAAGTTTTTATTTTGAAAAAAGAATAATCTTAACGTTAACATTCCGATAGCATAACGTCGGTGCAAATTGTGCGTACAGCTGTTGTTGTCATCATAAGCAAATCATTTTCGACTAATTTGTAGGACCTTTTGATTCTGTGTATAGGATTGTCCATTCATTTGTATCGCAATATATTTGATATAATGGATCAAAAGAAGAAAAGTCAACAAAAAGAACAAATGAGAGGCAGTATGCCAAAGAAAGGACAAAATCTTAAACGTCATACTTCACATTTTAACAAGCTCCTAGAAACACCAAGGGGCTTAAAAGACATTCCGTGACTTGCACGTCTTATTAACATTCCAAACGGACAAAACTGTTGGGATCAGAGTAATTACCGAGCTCGTTTAGAGGCAAATGGTCTGTCGCATGGGGGGTGACCTTTAGTACGATTTCTGTTAGTCACATATACATGTACCTGTCAACACGTTCTCTACAATGCCTCTTCTGTTCTTTCTTGCACAAACATATATCGATGAATTACCTCAAATGTTTTATTGCCGTTTTAAGTGTTCTCAAGTCGTTGCATGCTATCTAATAATTAGATAACTTTAAGATCTGAACCATCTCCAAGATAAGCTTGCATAAATATCCATATGAAATTCAGGAAGACTAGCCTAAGGATTTACAACATCTTGCTAAAGTAGACATTATGTCCATTCTAAATCCTATTGAAATTTTCACAAATATATCGATGAATTATTGCCTTTTTTAAATGTTTTCAAGTCGTTGCATGCTACTAGTATCTAATAATATCTTAAAGTCTGAGAAATCATATCCAAACTAGCTTTGTACGAATAGTCATAGGGAATTCCGCCGGACTATCTTCCTTGGATTGTTTGGAAACCTGTTGCTAAGATAGAAAATATGTCCATTCCAAAGTGACTGTTCATTCATTGATAGTTCTACCGATACAAAAGAGACACGAGTCTGTAGAAATGGGGGAGGGAAGGGGAAAATGTCGGATGACATCTCGTTCTCCTCATCAATTAAGCCGAGTTACATCTTCGAGACAGAGTGGAAGTTTTTGCTTATCCTTGGGTGATGGACGTTTTGAAGGTCAACGTTAAACATGCCGTCCACACCGGCACTTCCGATAAGACTGTGTTCCATTACTCCACACGTGCTCGTGTCATCAGCGTGCGAGCTGTTAGGATGAGGTACAACAGATGCCGGATTTCCCACATGCAGTTTTTAGTTACTGGTGCTATGGCGTATTGGATAGAGTGTTCGACTCGCTTTTGGTATAGGTAGTGAGTTCGATTCCCGGCCGAGTCATAACAAAAATAAATGGTACATACTGCTTTATCTGCTTACGTAGCACTCAGAATTTATGGTAGCTATATGTAAACACACACTACTAACAGTGGACAAGCACTATATGTACAGGGAGGACTTTAAGAAGTTTAATCTAGCAAAAATTCGGAAGAAAATTGGAACAAGTTTGTCACTTCAAGAGCCCTTGTGCATCCAAATATGTTTCCTCCTCTTTGCTGTTGTCGCTGAATAAAATTAACTGATTTATAACTTTTTTCATTGGCCTAAACCTTTCAAATTGACATGTCAAAATCAGTTTAAAGTGCATTCTTTGTCAAACGCCATTTAACGTGTAAACCCACTAAACCATTGGAATGTGTTTAAAGTCAAAGGTATTCATTACGAATGTTAGCGCTCATTGTCGTTTGAAAAGATAATCTATGTTTTTCAAAGGGTATTGCGACTCTTGACCAAGCTGAACTTTGAGGTAAGCGTCATCAAAAGAAATGATATGACCTGTGAAGTGGCAAGGTATAACTGGTGAAAAGAACAGACGTTTTAAATCAATCGTTAAAAACCACCACACACGGACCTAGCAGGTGACACCTGAACTTACCTTATCAGCATGTATGTCACCCCATTAGAGGGATCAAACCCCCTGTTTGTTGTTTAATGTGAAATGCTGATGGACTAAAAACTATTCTTATATTCGTTATCTGCGAAGTAAGTCGTCTCACCGCCACTTAACGCCAGGGTAGCGACACAAACTCTGACCTGCCAGTCAAAATTTACGCCCAGGGTACGTTATTTTAAGGTCAGAGACAAACACATGTCAGACAAGTGTATACAAAACAAATCACTTCAGATACTGATAACGTAGCGCGTAAAGGACGTTGAACTATGATGGTGGTGCCTTTTGAAGGTAGGTAACTGACAGGTTGTAAAACCATTGCCGATTGTATCTTATGTTTGACTACATACTGCGAAGTAAGAGATTCTGATAATAGTGATAGCTAAAAAGAGACCATTGAGACAGCAAAAGCACTAGTAACATATTTACATTCAGAGCTTTACTAAAGCATCATCTATTACGTTGAACGCATTTGAATGAGCATTATAACTGTTCTTATTGTATGATGACCAGGGCTTGTCCTTTAAAATCGCACTGGCTAGTTGGGCAGCCCTGGCCTGGTTTTATCATTTTATACAGCCTAATAAATCAAATCAAATCACCCTCATCATCAGGTCGTCAATTAATAAGTTGTACATATGTTGGAAAAAGATCCCATGGGTTGTGTGAAGACAGCACCTGAAAGCTTGCACGAATATAAATGCTGGTTTGTGTACGTAACATTTTTCTACATTCCCCGAGCACTCGGCGCCCAGTTCCGCGGACAGGTAGTAGGTACGTGCGGAGCAGCACACACCGTCAGCACCCGGGGCAACATCACGGGCAACCCGCACCGGCTGTGTCCATCAAGGACACATAACGACGTAAAACATCTGCTCTACCCGATCACCGTCCCAATAATTCTCTGTTCTACGACATTTCTGTCCATCGTCTTTTCATTTCTACATCTTCCAATATCTTTTCCCCTACTATATCTTAAATTGCTGCATAACAGCTCAGGAGAACCTGGTGGAGGCTGGTGAGATGTCTTAAAATTTGCTACTACTTACAATTAGCCTTGGGAAAGATTAAGAACTTAAGAGCATCATAATACAAAGTTGTTTCTGCTTTCTCTTCCTACCTCAGACACCTTTATGATCCTTTATGTTTTGTCTCACGGCCTCTCGTTTTCATCACCCCTCATTTTATCCATTCGTCCCTTTCCAATTCCTTCTCTCCCTCACGTTTATTTCCAGGTCCATGATTAACCTCTAGTTCCAGTCCATTTGCTCTGTGCGTCACAGTACTATACAGGTGATGACTGCACCCCACATCACAGACGTGTCCCAGAAAACGTGACACGACTGCACACAGTCCTGCCCGCTAGCCTCCTGTGCAGGCCTCCGGGTGGGTGAGAGTTTTGATACTGTGTTTTGTAGAATTGTTGACGCGTTCTTTTGCCGACCATCCTACAACCAGCCGCCCAGAGAAGGTTTGTACCCATGGAATGCAATATCAAAACTCCCACCCGCCCCCACAAACATTCCCAGGGCGGCTGGTTGTAGGATGGCTGGCAAAAGAACGCGCTAAAAATTCTACAAACACAGAATCAAAACTCCCACCCGCCCGGAGGCCTGCACAGTAGGCTAACTGCCCCCCTCCCCACCACGGTCGCCACGGAGTGTTGATAACTCAATGGGCCAGAAACGTACCCGGGGAGGCCCTCCTACACGCCCTTAATGCGTCCTGAGGCGCCAACAACGGTATCGCCTTACGATCTCAACCATTTTTACACATCGCTGAGGGAGTTGGAGTGACCAGAGTAATTATTATCGTGCAGGGGAGCGGAACATGTTGACAGCAGGTGCAAGGGAAGGCCATTGTAATAACGGGGTTTGGGGGAGTTAAAATGAAACAGTTGAGTCCAAAGAAAAGCTATTGTCCCCTGAGTATGGTCCACAATAATACCCTGATACAGTTGCTGGATGAATGGAGTTGGCGTGGTCTACACATGTGCTGAAGAAAAACAATTCAATTGGCTGGATCAAGAAAACCCAAACTGGATTATGTGTGTAAAGGTGTTTCTATATGTAGCTAAGTGTTTAAAGCTATATTTAGTATGCTTCTCAACAAAAGCTTGATAAATGCACTTTTGGGACACAGAGGTTCTGTATTAATCTGACAAATCCGTCCTAATGAGTTTTTATACTTTTTATTTGCGAAATAAATAGCATAATTAATTCAAACTTACCTAATGTTGGGTCGTATTCCCAGATAAACCGCTTTGTCAAATACCGGACGACTAGTGCTGTGAAAAGACAAGATAGATATGAGAAATTGACATTAATTTTTTTCAATTATAACTTTAACGCAATGTTTATACTAGTAATGGCTAGTATGGTTTAAAAACTACCATTGGTGCTGCAATTGTTGTATTTATCTAGGTCTAGCCGTATCTTCCCTAGCTATCTATATCTGGAATCAACGTCAAGAAAGGGCTAGACTTTAAATTTTTCTAACTTACCTTTCTACAAACACAAACACAAAAAGACGGCACAATGGTGCACTGTAAAGTCCCAGGTATTTTCTAAACCAAATTAATTCCTTCCGGATTTATCAGGCACTGTTTCTTCAAGACCTCGTCGATTCTGAGGTGCATTTGTTTGATATTCTTTCTTATCTCTGATGTATACGTTAAACCCAGCAGATTTACAAGTGTTAGTGGTATATATTTTTTCTTCCGCCTTTTTGGCGCCAGAATTAGTAAGGCAAGGCGCACTTAACGGCGTGCTGATCTGTTATAAATCCTCAGCCCATCTTCGCACAAGTGGTCTATTTTTGTCCACCCAAGTGATCTGGGTAAACTTTGCCACAACACGACCGTTGAAGCGAGGTACAGTGTCGTTATAACTGTCACATACGCGAGTGTCCTCAACAAAAGTAGGATATACACAAAACCCTCTGTTATCCTTCTAAGGAGGCTAATCCAGGGGATTTGAACGGACCGGATCACACAGAAGTGATCTTCAACAAGCCCAGCTTTACCTGTTCTATCTGGGCTGAAGTGTTTACACTTCTATTGAACAAAGTGGTTCTTGTCAGTGTGTGTGTGTGCCTGTGGTGTGTGTCCGTCTGCGCCGCAGTGTGACGTCTTGTTATACACAGACATTAGGCCACGTTGATTTAATTATATAGATAACATGACCTCTGGGAACCCCAAAACTGATGCGAGCGTGCGAATAAAAAAAAGTTTGATGAAAAAATTGCTTTCATTATAAAATCTATGTGGTTTGAAGGTAGAGTAGGGCTTTGCGAATAATCTAGTCTTCAAATTCATTACTTTGCATTTCCGTCTTTTTCGTTTGATTTTGGCATTATACGACATTTGTATCGTTTTCCAACTTTCGGTATATATGCGTTCTTTTGAAACTGTTTTGTACGATTTACAGTGTGGTTGAAAACTTTTTTTTTGAAACCGCCGAAAATTCATGCGCGCGTGGATAAGGGATTTACTGTGTAGGCTTGCGCGAGTGGGAGTTTTGAAAATCTCACAAAACAAGGCGTTTGCCGAAGTATAAAAACATCGGGTTCGTCCATTTGTACTGATTTATAGGGGTGATTTAGGTTTCTGTAAATGACCATGACAGGGGTTCTGACACTATAAAATATGGCAATCTATGTAATCTCCAAGCAGATTCCTTCAGGGGGAGGGTACGATCGAATTGGCTACCCGGGATACATTTGTACCAAATAGGGCAAATGGTAACTCGGGTGGCCAATTTGATCGTACCCTACCCCCGCGAAGGAATCTGCTGGCGAAGAATGGGTTCTATGTACAGTTTTGGAAGTACAGTGTACGAAAGACCAAAGGTACAACTTCAACAAGGCTTCATCGGGTCAGTTTTCACCGTTCAAAACCTATTTTCACCCTTCAAAACCCAATTTTCACCCTTCAAAACTCAAATTTTCACCCTTCAAAACCCAATTTTCACCCTTCAAAACTCAATTTTTCACCCTTCAAAACTCAATTTTCACCCTTCAAAACTCAATTTTTCATCGTTCAAAACTTAATTTTCACCCTTCAAAACTCAAATTTTCACTCTTCAAAACCCAATTTTCACCCTTCAAAACTCAAATTTTCATCGTTCAAAAGTTAATTTTTCACCCTTCAAAACTCAAATTTTCACTCTTCAAAACCCAATTTTCACCCTTCAAAACTCAAATTTTCATCGTTCAAAATTCAATTTTTCACCCTTCAAAACTCAATTTTTCACCCTTCAAAACCCAATTTTCATCGTTCAAAACTTTTTTTTTCACCCTTCAAAACTCAAATTTTCACCCTTCAAAACTCAAATTTTCACCCTTCAAAACCCTATTTTCATCGTTCAAAACTTTTTTTCACCCTTCAAAACTCAAATTTTCATCGTTCAAAACTTTCTTTCACCCTTCAAAACTCAAATTTTCATCGTTCAAAACTTTTTTTCACCCTTCAAAACTCAAATTTTCATCGTTCATCGACTCGTCCCCAGGATACAATGGTTGGCTCTTCCCAGTATGCTTTGCGCGGAGAAAATGCGGTCTCTTTCCCAGGGCAGTCAACTACAAACGCGAATACGCTAGTGTTATTCGCTGCAGTCTCGCCGTGCCCAGAACGTCATTATATATTATATCGGACGCTGTGGAAGGAAAACATTTCCAACACCCAAGCACGATTTTCAACCGGCTGTTTTTGTAAGTTAGAATGGGGAGGGGGCCGGGGGCGTTTCTAAGTACTTTGACTAAGTTAGAGCAGTTTTTTCGTGTTTATAAATTATGTTATGGACAGAGTCCGACAGACTGTTGTTGGTTTCTTTTAACCCCAAAACTTACTGCTCCATTGGTTTTGGAACTACTTGTATTTGTTTTGAGTGGCGGACGGACGTATATTTTCCGACATAAATTCCCAACTATTTTCCACTGACACAAAAAAAAAATCTCTTTTACCTCCATGGTTTCTCCAAATTGTTACCTTCGCCAAGAAGGTTATGTTTTCGTTGGCGTTCGTGTGTCTGTGTGTGTGTGTGTGTGTGTGTGAGCACGATAACTCAAGAAGGCTAAGATGGATTGTCTTGATACTTGGTAGGTAGGTAGGTCTTCATGAGACGTGGAACTGATTAGATTTTGGGCCCCCTAGCGGCTTGTTATGGTACTGCAGCTGAACTTCCGGTTTTGATATCTCGTGATCTAGACATGCTAGGGTGACGAAATTTGAATGGAAGGTAGCTCTTGTGCTGGGGAACAAGTGACGTGAGTTTGGGCCCCCTAGCGGCTTGCTCTGGAACTGCAGGGGCATTAGTTGAAAAATGTTCAAAGGCGGATATCTTAAGAACCGATTGATGGATCGCCGTGATCTTTGGCATGTAAGTAGCTGAAGTGATGATTGACATAATGATATTACAATTATGCAAATATTAATGTAATTTGCATAATTAATGAGGAAATTCTATAAATCAGCTGCATTTCATGATAGGACTATTCAAGCTTGTGACATATGTAATTCAGAACGGCAGAAATACAGGCAGATATCGATTATGCAAATGAAGACTTCATTTGCATAATTAACGAGAAAACGTTATAATTACATAGTGGTAATGTCTGGAATTTCATACTTGGGATATTTCAAAGTTAAGTGAAGGTGAACATAATTAAACATAACTTATTCAAATAAGGACCTCATTTTGCATAATTTATGAGGACATGCTATGATGGCA